TTTATCTAATATTATCAGGATTCATGATGAAACAAACGTGACATCGGTCACTACCCAAATACCAAACACTGCTATCTGAATAAAGTTATGCTTTTTTCAATGTTCAATAAAGATGTAATATCTAGTATTTACTATAATTTTCCCATTCATTTAGTGGGTGGTCGCTGCATATGTAAACGTGATTTTCATTGAAGTTTTTTTTTTCAGTCATCTACGTATGTCTTTTGTGAACTCGCTACTGTAGCGTAATTAAAATTTCCTTATGACAAAAGCGAATAAAGTGAAAGTAGCAGCTTGGAATAAAATCTAATCATCCACTAAACGAACAGAAAAATGTTTAATATCGTGCACAGATTAAATACTGAAAAAAAACCCAATGTACTACAAACTCATAAACATATATTCTATCTCCCCTTTTTAAATGAGAAATAATCTTCAAGTTGAGTAATATTAAAATGTCACTAAAGGTGAATATTCTCATTAAATTGACAAATAGAATATTTCTGTTCTATTTCCTAATCGTTAAATCTAATAACAACGCTGATATCACTTCAAATTGATTGCATTGAAAAATCAATTAAGATTTCATAAATTGATTCCATTAATTAGTCGAATGGTCTAGTGTAATAAACGAAGATGTTAAGACCAAATGGAATCAGTAATTTATTGAACGAAAATACTTTACTGGTAAAATGAGTGTACTGTATATCCTGTCTTAAGACCCATTTGCAAGACAATCCAATTATTGGCTGGTTTCTTCCACATATATATTCTATTCTTCAAAACAATCTGATCACGCCACACATCCCAATGTGACACTCTTCTCTCTGGCTGTAACATTTTAGTGATACTCCGCTGCATACTACTTATAAACCATGTTGCAAGTAGCATACACCGCAACAGTGATCATACCTTAGTTATAGGTATATTATTTTATGATGGATATAGTTTAAATGATTTTTGCTTCAGCATTATTGGAAATTTTGCATTTTAATTGACCAAAAAACCCTAGATATCTAGTTCACCTTGTTTTTTAATTCCACTACGTCATTGTATGTCATAAATTTCTTACTCATCATTCGTTACATATTTTTCTTCTCCTGGTTTATTTTCTTAGTCCTAATTTTATATTTTGTTTAATTTCCCTTTTTTGTTTTACCTGTCCATACCAATATAAACACATCAAAATTCGTCTGTTTAATTATTTATTCGCTTAAAAATTCATTTAAATTAAATGGCTACCTAGTTGATATTTAAATATCTAGACTTAGAAGGATGTATTCTTCCTATAAATATTCGTTATTTGCAAATATGTAACTTTATCGTTATCATGTTAAATAACCTCTCATTGACTTTTCTTTCAATAGTTTATTTCTTTGTATTATGTGCAACTCACTTTTGACAGATCAATGATATGTGTAGTTATAAGTATAGTCCTATAGGACTACTGCTAGTCATCATGGTTATGTCACATAGCTTAAAATATGTTTTAACAGTCGATTAAAGGAATGCTTCTTTATAAGAGGTATTGAATTGAGCATCAAAGTCATATGTGACACACGTGCAGATGCTTAATGGAACAAACAATATTCTTTTCAATAAGTTCTCTTCAGGTACTCTGCAATTATGCATCCAAATTACTAATCCAGGGAGTGACCAGTTCTAAGGCAATTACACTATCAATATGGATACAAACAAATGAAGTGTTTGTTTATATCAGTTTTTTAATGCTAAATATAGAAGATTAATGATCGAAATTGATGTAGATAACATGGGCTGAGATAGAAAATGTTGTAATTATGTACTTTGTATAATAATATGAACTAGGTAAGACATAGAAAGAGGGAAGTTGTGCACTAGTAAAATCATGTTATGTTATTCCTTTTACTAAATATTAAAATAATTGCTAACTAATTATTTGGGAAGTTGATCAAAGCACAAAAAGCGGTTTAATATATTTCTTTTGAACACAAGCTTAATTTCAATAGCTATTGCTTTAGCCGTTTGAAGAATTTCTAATTTGGTGGATTTAGACAGATAACTATTATATTACTACGATGAATTATTGTCTCATGTTGGCTGTATAACCCGTTTGCAGTAGATGACCTAGCAGTTGAGTTGTTAACAGTTTTGCTTAATCGTCATTAGATATGGTTGCGAGCACAATAATATAAATAAATTATTAGAACATGTTGCAATATAACCTGCTCCACAAGAGGAACTGAATTAATAAATGCAGAAAAAGATGATGGTTGGTCAAGATCAATCCAGTCTTTGAGTGTGCGTCGGACGTAAAGGAAGCAGTAATTTTAGTCTCCCCGCATTAAAACCTCTTTAAATCACTCTGTGAAACTTGTGAAGAAATTAATCCAAGAAAATTTGTGTCTTGGCTCGTCAAAGTACTTCTCTTGTTTCAGTTCCTTTTTAGTGATTCTTCTACTGTCTCTTTGTAGATTATTAATTTACATATATAACCACTGAGTACCTAAATGGAAGTTATCAAAAAGCATATTTTTCGTCCATTCTTCAATTGTTAATATTTATTTCATCTCATCTAAACTTCTTCCACTTGTTTTGGCAATGAGTAACTAGGTCACATCAATTTTTTTTATGTAATACGTATGACTCATAATTTTACTATTTACTACTCAAATATTACGTGATATCACATGAAATGCAGTATCTCGCTGTGAATCATTTCTAAAAATAGTGAATGACTTTGAGTTCTTATGGTTATGTAAATGTCATGCTTGTCATCTTACTTACATATTTATGCACTACAATATTTGTGCTTTCACACGGTGATGATTAGATGAATTCATTTTACACGAACTGACCTTAGCTAAACCACTACCACTGAAAACTTGAAAGCAATGGAGTTCGTTTCGTCCTTATATGAGACTGCTCAGGGGTTCGCATTCACGCTCGGGAATCGAACACAAGATCTCCGATCTCGTATTCAGGACGTGAATTTGCACTTTTGAGGAGGCTTATTTTGGACGCATTACATTTATTAGTCATTGAAAATGTTGTGGAGATCATCTTAAACATAGTTTTACTCAACGCACTTGCAAGTTAACTTCAGGTTTAATACATATAATAATTATTATTGTGATAATTTATAGTAAATATTTATCAAACTAATTCTGACTTGTAAACACGATTTTATTTTCATTTTGACATTCGTGCACACAATTCACGTGTGTTCTAGAACATAATGAGTCAAGATTCTTAATCTAAATTTGTTATTTTAAAACAATAATGCTTTTAATATTATGGTAGTAACAGTGATTATACTATTCTTTCTCACTTATTACTTCAACATCGAGTTCTTTGTTCGGTATTTTTTCATTTACAAACATGACCCCGTTCAAATGAATTCTTAACCTGATATCATATAAAACTGATTTCATTTGGAATGCTCGATTGTCTTTGGCAAATCTGGTCATATCCACGTTTCTTTTTTCAAGTTATCCGTGGAAGTTATTGTTCGTTGCTTCATCTTTCCACGTTTTTATTACAATTGCTTTCACAGAAATATTTTTGGCGTTCAGTGCGTCAGTAAATCAACCATCGAAAAAACTCAAGAAACACTATTTCTTTGATCGTTTCAGCAATTTATATTATTGTCTCCGGTTGTCCTTTACTTGCATCATTCTTTTCAAACTATAACACGACTCTCATTGAAACAGTTAACTTGATCTACTCAAAAAGAACTCTTTTTTTCAACCATCTACCAGTTTCTTTTCTGCTTTTAAATTTCCTTTTCATCTTGTTTACTACACTCTTTTTTTTCGTCAGCATGTTGAAACTCGCATACTATTGATCAGCATTTGGTCATTGATGATTAGGTTAAAAAAAATATCAGTTTTAGTGAAAACATGTGGCTATTGGATTTTAAGTATGTTGTATACTAGGCTGGTACATTCCGAAAATCATGAAAGGCTGTTGAGAAATTTCATGGATGTATTGAATCTTGTTATATACACCATTGCATCTGGGCTCCATAAGTTAGGTGTTCGTGCATGAAATTGAAGGCCTTTAGTTCGATCCCCGTGAACGGACTTGTCAATGCTCACTGAAGAAATGTTATCTGGATGTAACGGACAGCCAAACTTGCTTCACACAAATTTTATGCTACTTGACACGTCATCAAACATAACTGCACTTTTGAAGAAACTTCTCCACCCTGGTAGATACAGAACCGAATAATCTAACTTCCCGACTTGAGGTATAACTACTGAACTATTCTCGCTGTAACAAAACTTATGTAGGTTTGGAATATTCAAAGTTGACTGATCGCTGAGTAATAAACAAGATAGTCCTTTGGTGGGGATTCTGTCACATGAGCCAGTACTTTTTTTTCTTACTGTTTCCGTGTGATAAGTACACGACAGTGATAATCGCCCATAAATTTAGGCCGTCTAGTTCATATGAATTTATGGACTTTGTCAAACGAACTACAGGCAAAAAAAACTATCGTGTCATCTAACGTTTAAATGTTTTTCACATGTTCTCTAGTTGACGTCAATCTGTTACAGAAGTTAGCTCCCTTAATTGAACTCATCATGGAAAGAAAAATAAATCAACTCCTTCATTCGTAATCGATTTTTAATCAGTGATAAAATACGCTAATATCTATCACTCGTAGTCCTGATTATTTCTAATATTCCTGAATTGATTATATTATTCTGTTTTTATATAGAAAATTATAACTAAATTTTAGTTAGTAGTGCCATTTTGTTTTTTTCTTTGCTTTAATTTCAATGTTCAAAATAATTTTTAACTTGTTTACCTGATCGTTTAAAATACTACTACTAATAATAATAATCAGGTTTTTGTTACTCTATTTAACTTCATTTTTGTTTATTGATCTCAGTTGTTGCACAACTGCATCAACAGATGAGAAAAGAATATATGTATTAACATGAAAACGGAAATTTTTTCATATTTCCTAGATTCCTATGAATCACTTTCTGTTTGATTTTCTTTTTTCTTAGGATTCAGATATGTATGACCCGGAATCAGATACACCAGCTATGGCACGTACTTCTAATTTAAATGAAGAATTAGGTCAAGTACGTTTTTGTGTGTGTCCCCGTTCTTGTAACTCCTGTTTTTTTCAAAATATTCCTTATTTCTGTTACCACAAATATCTTTTACTTTGTTTTGTGTGTATATGTATTCAGAGTGATTTCAATTGGTTATTGGTGGTGGTAGTCATTCAACTGCAAAATTGCTGTGTAGTCTAGATTTCGTTCTAATAATATGTATTTATCAGTTTGGCGTACTAGCAATCTTATGGTAACTGTTTTTCTGTAGCATTTGAACCTACACTATTCAGCTTCATATTCTGAAGCGTTGTCACTAAGCTATTGGTATTCCGACTGACCTCGTATGCGAAGAATATTTACATCGTTTCGTCGCTAAGTAATGGCCATTACCGTGTTTGTTTAGTAATAATCGAATCTTGTTAATCAAGTTGTGCAAATAAATTTCAATTCATTATCTTTTTTCCATCAATTTGGTAGATGACATCATTGTACAATCTGCTGTAACTACAGCTTAACTCACTCGCTCCACTTCTAATGGGTGGAGTAAGCCTTTTCCTGCCATTAAAAGGAATAGTTTGACATATGAAGGTTGATTATTCAGATCAAAGCTATTATCCTACTGTTGGTTTATGGTTTTTATTAACTAATTTTTGTATTACTAGTCAGTATTTCGTGGTCAGCTGACAGGCCACTCAAGTTCGTCAGTATATTATACTTTTACTGAATACTTAATAATAGTATTTGCACTATATACGTATTTCCTGTAATATTTCTAATATTGTGTCAGGTGCGTGCTGTCCATGAATATTCTATGTATTCAATTATGATTGATGTTTTTGATTTTTCATCTCAATAGGTTCGTTACTTATTCTCTGATAAGACTGGAACATTAACTCGTAATGTGATGGAGTTCAAAAGGTGTTCAATTGGTGGTATTATGTATGGGTAAGTATCATTTTTATTGTTGGTAACTTTGCATTACTATAGACAAATGTTTTGCGAGGATTGTAGAATGTTCCATAGTTTTAATTCATGAACTAACTTTAGCTAAACCACTACCATTGAATTCCTGAAAGTACTGGACGGTTATTTTGTCCCAGTGCAAGATTTTTTCTTAGAATTGTAAATTCACGACCCTAATATTGGGGAATCGAACCCAGGAGCTTTCGTTATTCATGTGTGTGAGCGCTTAACCACTAGACTACTGAATCAGAATCTAAAGTATTAATGTCGTGTTAATCAGTGGTCTAGACGTCAAACGTTCTTATTCCTGGACTCATTCTCGGATACGAGGTTCTGATTACGGATTACTTAGGAAGGATTCCTATAGTGGGACGAAATGATTGTCCAGTGTCGTTGGGTTTTCTATGGTTGTTTAACTTAAATGGATTCATATTTTCAGTGAAACAGATACATTTAGTTCGTATCGTTACTTCGTTCCACTATTCCTTCGCTTTATCTTTTTGAACGTCATTCAGCTGTTCTTATTATCAGTGTTGATAAATTATTTTGATCTATTTTCCATTCATCTTGTTTTAATCATCTACTCTTACTGATATGGTAGTACGGTAACTTGGTTCATCAACTCATACATATCTCTGACTTATCTTAATTATAGATTATCGACAGACTGATAGACTAAATTACAATCAAATAAAAACACACACATCGATTCTTTTATATTTTTAAAAAACAATCTATTTTTGTTTTATCTTTTGCTCTCTGTATTTTTAGTAACAGTAATGAAGATTCAAATGCTTTAGAAGATCAAAATCTAATTAATAAACTAAATGCTAGAGATGTATTAGTTGATCGATTTTTTACAATATTAGCTGTTTGTCATACTGTTGTACCAGAACGCAATGTTAGTGAAAACAGTACTAATGATAGTAATAGTGATAATATTGCTGTTTTTGGTAATGGTAGTCTCAATAATGAACAATTGATTAATTATCAAGCTTCATCTCCAGGTTAGTATATGAATGTGTCATGTTGTGTAATAATTTTTTCTTCTGATTATACAGAGTAGATAGATTTTAGTTAGTCTTTTAATCTTTAGAACTATATCATCTGAATGTACCTACCGAATCCTAGTGTTGATGTTCGCTCTGAGACTCGAGTGTATCACCTATCACTTTAAATATCAGTGAGATTTCCACTAATTTGTTTAGAGCGTATAGTGTTTTGATGTTTCCATTGTACAGCAGACAACATCAATGAACCTCAAACACTTGGATGCAGGTCCATCCAACTCATAACGAGTCCAAAATTGGACGAGAAGCGTGTTCTGGATTCCATTGCTAGCCATATTCCATCTATCCTATGATAATTTGTGAAATCGTGGTTATAATCTTGGCAATCCGTACTGAATCTAAATATACTATCAATGACTGATTGAAACTCTACCTTGAATATCAGCAAAGTATTAACATACATGTTATAATCCGCTACGTAGCTATTCAAATCCTACCGACGTCCAAATTCAAATATTCTAATACGACCTATGTACTAATCCCAAAACTCCTATATATCAGAACGCAACAACGACAGATGAAGTTGTCTAATGGGTCGAGTGCAGTAGAGAGGAAAGCAGGAAGGAATGGAAAAGCTTTATAGATAATGCGTATTTATACATTTAGGTCGAATAGGAAAGAGTATCAAAGTCTGTGACATTGCCAGTTAAGACGACCAATAGGAAACAACATTGGATTACGTGACATTGATATCTAGGACAAACATAAATTTGACCAGTAGGAACTAACCAATAGGAATTGACCAATAATTATCTTAGGATATTGGATGAATATCCTAACAATATATTTTCGCACAGATTTTATACGGCCGCAGATTTACACTGCTCATAGACCACAAGCCTCTGCTCAGCATCTGGTATCCCAGCCCATTCCGCAAATCATCTCCAAATCTAGGCCCTGGTTTTATCTGCATATGACTTCGGCATTCAGTACTCAACATTAGGTTGAAACGCGCATCATGTTGGTTTAATACTGTCCACAATTCATTCGCTTACATTGTATTACACATTTATATTGATAAAATCTGTAGCTTAATATAAGTTATCAAGCAATCATATTGATAGTTAGACAAGTTTCTGTTTTTCAAAAACATTTGCCATTTTATGTTACATATCCCAACCGTATCTGCTACTTTGACGTGGTGGTCGGGCTTGTCTATCGTGATGATCCAACCGAGCTTTATTGGCTGGAACATGTGTTCCTGCAATTCCTACCATGCCAGGTGGGTCGATTAGAGAACGATGAGACTAAAAGCAGCTACCCAAGGTCTGAGGGCGAAGTCGTACTGCTGACTGCAGAGGGGTGTGACAGCAGTAATGTGTTTCCCTCGGATAACCAGCATCTGCAGCGATGCTGCCTTCTCACAAGGAAGGAAGAGTTAGAAAAAGTCGACCCTAAAAATGTCACACCTCACCCTACCTCACGGATTTCCGTCCCCGGTGGTAAGGGTGTCTGCCCAGTAAGGGCTTTTAAGAGCGGAGATAATGCTCGAAAAACATCTCATAAAAAGGCCGTGTGTGACTGTCATTAAGCAGTTGTCCCTTGGGATCTACGGTCACGCTCCCAGGTCTCTAAGACCGACACTAATCTACCTTCCTTTTCAGGCTCCTGAAGAAACAGCCTTCCACGGTGTGGGCAGCCGGGAAGTGACAACCGCCCTCATACTCGAACCAGCACACGAGACCGAATCGATCAAAGTCAAATCCTTTAATGTACGGACATTGTGTCAAATAAGGCAGCAGGCTTCTTTAGCTAGGACTTTAGAATCTCGCTCAATCGATGTTTGCTGCGTCTCGGAAACGCTCATACAGGATTCGAGTAGCATCATTCACTTGACCTCACCATTTCAAGATAAAGAAGCAGCTCGAGTTACTCTCGTAAACTCATCCCACCTGGCTTTGAACATGACGACGTGCGAAGTCAGGCTGATAAAAAGTGTACTCAGTGACCGCAAACAGTGGTGTCAGCGAAATTTAGGGAGATAGAAAAGGCAGCGGTGGTCGGTAACGGTAGACAGCTGTTCCGACTTATAAAGTAAACCGGTATTAGAAATCCATCTGTTCAGTCAGTCAGTCAGTCAGATGCAACGTAGAACTTTGTACGTAAGTACATCAGTTCATGTTGCCATACCTTATCAGCACAGAGATATAATTGTCAATTCAAATCCAAAAGTAAAAGAGGTAGTAAGGGTATTAGGAGTAATCGGAGAGGTTAGTGAAACTAACGCAGAAAAGGATGATTGTATCATTCATTCTTAATCCAGAAGATTGGATCAATGGACAGAACACTTTAGGTATCAGTTCAACAGGCCTTCAACCACACTTTTGTTGCCCACGATTTCCAGTCATCCTGAATGACAAATAGATGTAAGTCCCCCGACTGTTTATGAAGTTGAGAAAGTGATAGGACATTTGAAGCGAAGGAGAGCTGCAGGTCCTTATAGACGGACCCCTGAGATATTTAAGGATGGTGGTGCAGTTTTAGCAGCTTGGTTGGCTGAGTTTTTAGGTAGAACTTGGGAACCGGGCGTCGTTCCATATAATTGGTTTTCCGATCTGGACGTGGCTGTATAGACCAGATAACCACACTACGTCAGGTCCTAGAACAAAGACACACGTTACGACGTCCTACAATAGTAGTATTTCCCGTTTTTAAGGCGGCATTGGACTCTGTCGATTTTGAGGTTCTGTGGTAGTGTCAGTCATTTAAACGTGTGCCAAAGAAGTACATTAACCTTATATAAGCTCTCTACTCGAGCACCATTGATCGAGTGAGAGTCTGTGGCGAACTGTCATCGGAAATCTCTACTTCAAGTGGCGTCCGTTAAGGCTGTCCATTCTCTCCATTCTTGTTAAACTTTGTCGTAGACATGCTTTTAGAATTAACATTATCCTCGTCAGATTTTACAGGCGCGGACCTTCTACCACGAAGATCTCTTACTGATCTAGAATATGCCGATGACATAGTCCTACTTGGTGAAGACGCTGACAAAATGCAGAGTCTTCTCACCACCCTAAGCAACAATGCAAGAATATTCGCGATGCGGTTCTCACCCTCGAAATGCAAAATGTTGCTTCAAGATTGGGTTGCATCTACACTTCACTTATCTTTGCAGTCTCGTCAGTGTTGATGGCCTGGTGACTGACGAAATCTCAGCTTGAATACAGAAGGCTCGATTGGCTTTTACCAACTTGCGTCACTTATGACGAAGGCGAGATATCCGTTTGCTATTCAATAATGTACTGTGCAGCAGTTCGCTCCGTCCTACTTTATGGCTGTGAACTATGGCCGGTGAGCGTAGAGGACATTAGTGGGTTTGTAGATGTAGACTACGTAGTTGGGGTCCATGAGACGAATGTCGCCGATTGTTTGAGACCTTTAACGACATGGCTTAAAATCGTTTGGAATGGAGCAGGGGCATCCGCTCGTTGTGTTCTCCCAAATTCTAACATTCTGATTTTCTCATCTCTATTTTTCTCTTTCAAACTTTACCTCACAGAACTATACTTGAATTATATCTTCGATCCCTAATCTTTTCCGTTACTGCTAATTCTTGTACTATCTCAGTCACTATGGGATTTGAACTGACAGTTGAGTTTCTGTGCTAATGCGGTATGACAAGACGAACTGATGTACGTACGTACGAAGTTCTACGTTGTAACTGGCTGACTGACGTAGCGGGAATGTTTACGAAATTGAGAGGATTAGAAGAATATGTTCCGTGCCTAAACTGAGTTTGTGAGTATGTATGAACCACTTATTGGATGTTAGAAAACCTGATTCCAAATGATTGGTATACGTGGGCTTCAGTACCCTTTTTTATATTGAGCAATCTAATAATATTGTTATGGAAGTTTCATATTGTAAATTTTGGTATTTTGATTGTGCTTACTTGTCAGATGAAGCAGCTCTAGTTAAAGCAGCACGTACAATGGGCTATGTGTTTACCACTCGAACGCCGACAGAAGTTATCGTTAAAATTGTAAGTATTTTATTTTACGTACAGTTTGCAGGGTTTTTTTTATTGTAATTTTTATTTATTCGCGTTACATAGGTCAATCAGTTACTCATAACACAATTTTGTACCTTGATACTTATGTGCATCACTTTTATTTATCACAACATCGGCACAGCAAAATAAAATTGCCTTAGCAAATACCAGAGTAGTAGTAGTAGTAGTAGTATCAATTTATGTCCTGTCAGTTATAGTCATCAGTTGTATACAACGTAACACCTGACTCATATATGTGCCAGCTCAAGTTACCACGTCAGATTGATGCAGCTAGACGATATCAGAGAAAATCGTTGGTAAGCGAAATCTTACGGTTCTATAACTCCAGAAAGACCGAGAGTGAATGGGCCTACCCGCGTCACCTAACAATATTCATGAAAATATATTCACATGTGTTGTGTCAATTGATTTTTTATCCTCTCTTCAAAGTCTAATGTTCACTTTTTATCTTAACAACGATATGCATTTAAATAAAAATAGTTCCATTATACGTAATCAATTTTTTTTTGGAAAATCACTTTAAATAACCATATATAATTTTCTTTTACTAATTATTCTAAATATTAATATTTTGTCTGATAAATTTGAAAATGACACAAATTAGTGTGTTGTACAAAATTTATTTTTTTATATTCACCTAAATTTACTGAGCATAAACTAAGTTGAATTTTGTTTTAAGTAATGTAGTAAGTAATATAGTTTTTTTTGTCTTTGTTTGTGTGTACACAAATGGTCATCATGATCTAACTAGACTTCATTAGTTCATGATCTCGTCGAGAGGTGTTTTCTTGTCTAATTCTCTCTGTCTCTGTGTTATGTGTTGTACTACAAATGATACGACTTTATAAAGTTAGTGATACAAAAATATGTGTTTATAGAAAGGAATCGCACCCCTACTGAATAGATAAAACAATGAATATTTAAAAAAATCATCATCAACTCAAGTGAGATGAAAGAAAAACCCTGATCATTTCACAATTGGAATAAAAGTTTAGTTTTTTTTTCATATATTGAAGACTTTGTATACAATCTAGTGTTTTTGTATGTATTTATCAAAATTTCACTAATTATTAAGGTTTTCTTTTGTTCATGGCATTGTTAGTTCTTTATTATATGGTTTTTAGTCTTTTTTCAAGGTTACTTGTTGTGTAGGTAGGTGGTTAGGTAGTAAGTTGCAAAAAAATTATTAGGCGTGGGGGGGGGTGAAGGCGCAAACCAAAACATTACATCAGTCTATGAAAAGCCATTCATAACAGCTATTTTAGGCAGGTATGGACTAGTTTCTGGCTGATTGTATCCAAATGATTAAAGATATTGGGTGGTGGTAGTAAGTGAGTGAGTGATTATGATGTGAATGTGAGTGTGGAGTTTTACAGCTAATTACTGTTGCATTTCTTTCTTTTTTTGTGAATTTTCATTCTTTCTTATCTGAATCATTATTCGTTGGTTTTTAATTCGATTTTTATTGATCATCATTTTAATACTATTGGACATGAACTCGTATGTGATATTGATTTAAAGCAAAATATTTCATATTTTTGGCATTAATATTGTTGTAGCGTGACAATTTATATATCGATCAATTGATTTTCGATATTCCCTTTACGTTCATGTTCAAGTTATTTTTTGTGAAAAATAAAAATAAACGATCTCTCCATCAGATTGATGGTCTGTTGCTCTTTTGTTGTGTAGAGAGAGAGAGAGAGAGCGATTGCTACATAATTATAAGTTTTTGTCAAGGTGTTTCATGATACCTAGCAGTGGAATTTAAGATACCAATCTTTGTTCTAGTTTGAAACCTATGACCGCGCTCCTAGATCCATGGGGGTTCCTATGGTTTGCTCATAAAAACACGATGGGTTTGTGTACCTTGACTAACAGTTCCTTCTCCAGGCTTTACCATTTAGTTTAAATTAATGTCACTCTTTGAATCACTCAAGGCCATCAGTATATTATAGATGATTTTATATATATAACTATCTAGATTGTAATCGATTCGTAGATACATGTGACCATTTGACCATGAAGTTTCTAAAGTAAAAACAAAGACTGCTCATATTTAATCTTCAGTGTCAACAAAATAGACAAAGCACAAACTCTGATCAATATTTGTTTACATGTTAAACAAATTGATGATTGTCTTGATACGATTTAGTTTAGTGTATAACTTATTAATGTACCAAAACAATAATTAAGTAACTTACATTCGAGTCTCATTGTAAGTATAAATACACTAAAATACAAGTAGGAGTATACTGGATCTGGAAAAGGTCTTTATCAAATGAAAATTACTACTAGACACTATTCTAAAATTCTAATGATTGTTTATTTGTTTTTGTTCAATTAATTTGTTAACATGGTTTTTATTTTCATTTTTGAAATGAAAAAATATAGCGTGGTGTCGAGAAAAAGTATGGGATATTACATGTACTTGAATTTACTAGTTTTCGTAAACGTATGGGTGTTGTAGTTCGTGAACCTAATGGACGTATTTCCGTTATGGTTAAAGGAGCGGTAAGTATGTGTTCATATATCTTCTTATTTGTTTAAGGAAAACTTCATTGTATCATGTTTTATTTAGATGTATCCTTTTATGGCAAGCAATGTATATATGGTCGATTACAGATATGTGGCACCCTGGGGCCCAAGCCTGGATACAAGAGGAGCGTTGGGCATAGGGTTAGCGACCCCATCCCGTAGAAATTCGACTCACTAAAAAAAAATGTTTACCAGAAAAAATAACTCGCTGGTCGGGAACCTATGTTCCATTAGGGGTAACTGGCATAAATAAGTAAGACATCCTTATAACTGTATTCGATTGACTATGCTCAAACATGCTATACCTATATGTATGCTCAGCCACCTAATACTCTGTCATTCAGTAGTAGTTAAAAGAAGTGTAGTAGGAGAGTGACCAAGTCAAGAAGTAGAATCAATCCATGAAACAATTATTTGTCTATCAGAATGGTTAAATCATTCTGGTCCATGTGTATTTTTGAATCGATCAAATACCGACAACTTTATGCTGTAACGAACTTTGGAATATCTCCACTTTATGTTACGAATTCCTCATCACCTTTCTCTCTTTTTTTGAAAATTTATTTCACTAGATTATACTTCTTGAATTATTTCTTTGATCTCTAATCTTTTTCATTACCACTAACACCTCTACTAGCGCTACTGTTATAGGATTTGAATTGACAGTTGCATCACTGTGCTAATGTGGAATGGCAACTTGAACTGATGTACTTATGTACAAAGTTCTATGTTGTAACTGACTGACCGACTAGTTTGTGTAGCTTATCTTATTGTCCTAACCGTAGCTTGCTACCCTGTCGTAGTGGTCGGGTTTGAATATCGTAATAATTTAATCAGACTATATTGGCTGAAACATTTATTGCATTGTGGCCGATCGTTCTAGGAAGGTCGGTCAAAAACCTTTGCGAGTAAAACTGATGACAAAGTCATGATTAAGGTCCGTTGAAGAGTTCTATTTTGAGAAGAATAGGCTGTTCAGTGTTTCCTAGCTAAGATGTCTCTATGTACACACTTAACAGCACTACTTCTAAATAATAGCAGCAGTCTTTGTAAGCTGATAGTTGAAGGCAGTCTACAGGTAACTCTGCTTCATCTAAGTTTCATGCCATTTGACACTCGTCGAAAAAGTATACCTGTAATCTTGAGGGAACTGATGCTCCCTGGTGAATTCGATCCCATGTTACTTAGCTTCACAGTCGTACAGAAAGTCAGCCGCAGCCTAAATAGTTTAATGGGAATGTGACTGTGAAGCTGGATGCCATAAGATTCAATCCGTCTAGAAGTGTCAATCTTTTCAAGATTACAGGTACAACTTGTTGACGAGTGCCAAATAACGTGAAACCCGTGTTGAACAGCTAACCATCCATCACGCTACATCTCAATATTGTTCACGCACTTTCGAATCACTTAGACCTGCAACTCGATCGATATGACATTGGTCACTACTCAGTGATTAGTCAGCTGTAAGTAATAGTAGTGGTTACCTTTGTTCAGATTTACTATTGTATATATAATATTTAGTACTTAAGTCTTTACTGTTTCGTATGTAAACGTTGTAAAAAGAACACGACCTGATGTATTCTTATGTTAAAAGACAGTTTCTTTGAAAAAAAACAATCCGTACACATCGTACAAAATACTTTTTGTATTGAACAACAAACTTCTTTCTAGTTTACTTCCGAACGATTGTTGTATGTACAGTAAGTAAATGTATACATACAGACATACATATGATTGGATCTTTCCTGTTTAAACGTGTAATTAGATGTTCTATAGAAAAATGATGACAATGATCTTTGTTAAAATATATCAACTGTCACTGATTATCGGAAGTTAAGACTCTAAACTTTTTTGCATTGATTACAGGCTTTCTTATTCTTATGGAGATCTATCTGTTTACAGTTTATGGCTTGTATTCTCACCACAGATTGCTTTCAGTTGTAAGATATCACTGTGACTGGGATGTTATTATTCACCAGTTGTTTTGTCTTAGTATGAATGTATGTTTTTACAATCTGTTCAAAGATTAAATTTCACACGTTCCTATTATGCTCAGTAATCATTTCGAAACTTTTGAAATGTTATTGAGTTCAATAAACTCATAATTGTCGTAGATGAATGAAACTTATTTTAATGTGTAAATAGAATTTTTTTAATAAAAAAAAACATAAATAGATACAGTTTATAAATTTGACGTTTAACTTCAATATATCAGTTTATAAGTACTTACAATAGAATGTTTTAAGTTGGAAGGACCGAAAGATTAATTTCCACCTGTACTGTTGAGTATGTATTCCCAAGAAAAAAAAAAGACAATACTATATTCTGCATGTAATTCTAGTATAAGAGTGAAACTAAATAAAATACAATTTCAATTGACAATTTAATTTTTTTCGGTTAGAGTTATGGAGATTGGGGTTTTTTAGCACATTGAAATCATCGATCAGTCATTGTTAGACCACCATTAGAAACCTGGAAGCACTGGACGGCCGTTCCGTCCTGGTATGGGACGCATCAGCAATGCGCATCCACGACTCCTGCACCTCGCAGGACTCGAACTCAGAACCCTCGGTCTTGCACGCAAACGCCCAACCAGTGGACCGACATCCAACGGTGTTAATGTCTGGCAATTCGATGGTTTAAGTTTAACTTTTTATATTCCAAAATAGCATCAATGCTTCACTTTCATTTACTTTGGCAATCAAAGTATTTTGACTTTTTTTTTTAATTTATTTATTTAGTTATTTTATATAAAAACTGATCAAATTTCAATTGTAATCAATATCAACCATTGGATAATTAAAACTCTTGTTAATATGATGATAATATCAAACTATGAAAGCGGTTTTGTTTTTTTTGCCATCATCATGTATTTCAAATTGTTTGTTGTAAGTATTATTGCTGTTGTTTTTTTGAATTTGTAGGATACTGTTATATTTGAACGATTGGCCAACACTAGCCTATATGGTCAGTCAACTATGGATCATTTGGAAAGTTTTGCTAAAACTGGTAAATTGTTGTTTGTATTTTTCCTTATGATGTTAATTAGTGTATAAGTTGTGATAAAGTCAAATTTATTACCTAATGTGATTTATTCAGTACAGGAATCATACACTGTAATCAAATTGTTCAAGATAAGTATGATGACTAAAGTATACTACTATTGTAGCTAGTAGCTAAATAAGTGGAATAGTGTATTCCTAATTCGTATCTACCGAACGAATAATTTTTTAGATAAACAATTTTGTGCTTTCAATCCACTAAACTCTAATTTTATTAACTCTATTTGACAACTGGAAGTACTATCTCATTTAAGATCATGGAATATGAAGTATAAAATCATTTTGATGCTCAAGATCTACAGAAATACTGAACAGTCAATGCATCTCTCTGTATCATTCGGATTGATTCTTAGCCATTTCACTCAAAATATCTCCAAACATCATTTAAAACTATCATACAGATATTACATCATGGTAATTTTGTTCTACTTAGAACAGCCATTTCAATAGTCACTGGTTTCATAGATTGACTTCACGTTTTTAATTTGACTGTTCTTACCCTCCTTCCAACCTACTCCTATGCGCCGGCAAACATCACACACCGAAATAATTATTTTTCAGACTTATTGTATTCCTACATAATTACTGCTCGATTATGGTTACTTGTTTCTGGCACATGACCCGTTGGTCCGTGTGTGTGTGTGTGTGTGTGTTCATGTCTCAATGAATTCTCACATATTATGTATCGCGTCGAAAGATATTCTTCGGTTATAGTTTGTCCTCTTTTTCTATACAAAAAGCAATACACTTCTTTAGCTATTAAGATTTTAATTATGGGGATGATTTTAAAATAGAATGTGTAATACTTTTCTCTGTAAAATTAAGAATTTCTAATGTTTTATATTCTAGGTCTACGAACATTATGCATTGCATGGACTGAAGTCGATCCACTGTTTTATAATAAATGGGCAGAAAGATTTCACAAAGCTAGCACAGCATTAAATGATCGTGAGGCTAAGCTAGAATCGGTCGCTAATGAAATTGAACAAGTTAGTTAGTTTATCGTCTGCTTCGTTTGTTTGTTTATTTTTTATTTGTAAGTAGTGTCATAATTAATCTGTTATATAAATGGTTAGATTTTGATGGATTTTGAGATTGAATTGTATGGTATTGCCACGCTACTTAAATCATTTGTGTTGTAAGTCATGATATAGTGAGTATTAGCTAGGTGCTTAAGCCTTATATATTTCAACCACTCACTGATTCGCACATCCGAAACCTTATTAACGTGTTTGCATAATTTTGTTTCCTTTCATCGAACAGAATCTTCAACTTCTTGGAGCAACTGCTATTGAAGATAGATTACAAGAAGGTGTACCACAGACTATAGCTAATTTAATGAGAGCAGGTATTTCTATTTGGGTTCTGACTGGGGATAAACAAGAGACTGCCATCAATATTGGTAAGTATTATTTTTTCTTGTGTGTGTGCGTGTATCAGTACCAGTTTCCGTTTTGTGCATTTCGTTTGTCGGTCAGTTCACCTTGTAATCAGATAGTTTTTGAAGAAATCCCTTCTAATAAACAATAGTGTGATAGCAAAAGTAGTTTTGCTGCCTGAGTGAGAAATTATTATGACGGTTGATCACATAAATAAATTGTTTTACTTGTTTATAGTTGAAATATATATATATATATATATATATATATATATATATATATATATATATATTAGGAAATTAGGATTAGTTCTCTAACTGCACAAAAGGAAAACTCAATTCGTAGAGTGATCTTACCAACCTAAGGGTTTGTCCACAGACCCTAAAAAGGTCAACTACTTAAGGCTGGTTACACACGAAAGCTATGAGACTAGGTCTTTCGCCGTTCACACTGTACTGAGATCGCAAAATCACGGAACAAGGCTGAATGTCATTTTTAGACCCGACATTTTCTATCCCTTTACTTTTATTGCAAGAATACAGAATTGGCGAGGAAGCTGGGTTTTCTGAATGGAACACCAAATTGTCACCTGATAGACAGACTGATACAACGCAGAACTTCGTACATAAGTACATCAGTTCAGGTTGCCATACCACGTCAGCACAGAGACGTAACTGTCAGTTCAAATCCAAGAGTGATAGTGATAGTAGAAATATTAGCAGCAATCGAGAAGATTAGGGAGCGAAGATATGATATGATATGACTAAACATAATCAGTAAAAAGTAGAGATTGATAGTTTGAGGACAGGTGAACCGGTTTTGATAAGAATAATAAAGACTTGAATCAATCAATATCTCATAATAGGAAGTAGGTCAACAACCTGGAAAATGATATTCAATAAAAAAAAATATTTAGATTGCGCAATAAGTGTTCATATACACAATGAAGAGTATATTTGAAAGAGAGGTGAAGAAAAGGAAACGAATATGGGGTGTGGAAAATAGGAAAAATTACTTGTTACGCTTAATTCATGCCTTAATGAAGTGATTAGCTTATAACAAATCTCTTATGAATACAAAAACTTGGATTTTCAGCACGAAACCTTGTAGCTTCAGCTTTAATCAGAAAAGCTGTACATCATTCTACACACTTGTCAACATGAATAGAAACTGAATGATAAACAATAGATGCATGACATCGATCATGAATAAAAATGGTTGTATCAACAAGGCATTTCTTCATTATATGATCCACTTATTCTACTCCATCATTCAATGTCAGAGTAGGTGATTTTGTAAATTGTCCAAGAACATTCAATATTATCGTAAACAAAACATTAACTACTCGATAATAACTTCATCGTTCGAATTCGAAAATGTAAAGGTAGTTAGAAACAAAGACTGCATAGTTTGTAAGAACAACTATATTCCCTGATTAAATAAAAAACGATCGGATAACAAAGGGTGAAATCACAATGAGCAGTTTAATCACTCATCATTCGTTCATAAACACAATGAAGAATTTTTCTGCGTCCATAGGACATTTCATAGAATTTATTCTAATTATAAATGACAGTCAGTCAGTCCTAAGTAACATAAAACCGATTACAATCAAGTTCCAATAGCACACCAACGAAACGATATAAACTCACCCAGACAGACAGACAGATATATACAACGCAGAACTTCGTACATAAGTACATCAGTTCAGGTTGCCATACCACATCAGCACAGAGACGTAACTGTCAGTTCAAATCCAAGAGTGATAGTGATAGTAGAAATATTAGCAGCAATCGAGAAGATTAGGGAGCGAAGATATGATTCGAAAAGTATAATTCAGTGAGATAAAATTAGAAAGACAAAGGTAGAGGTGTTGATTAATCCAGAAGATTAGGATTTGACGGAACACAAAGAGTGGATGCACCTGCGCCATTGCAAACGGTTTTGAGCCATGTCATTCAGGGTCTCTAACTTTTGGTGAACTTCGTCTCGCGCACCCCAACCAGATAGCCTACATCTACCAACATGACTCAGTCCCCCCACTTGTCAGTGACTTCATGGATTTCTGCCATGTTTTGGTCTGGCCGCGCCTAACTTTCTTCCAACCTACTCCTACACCACAAACCATAGCTCGTCGCGGCAGTCGGTGGTTAGCCATACGTAACACATGTCCCAACAACCTCAACTGATGAAGTTTCACTACTTCATCTATTGATTTGCCATTCTTACCTAGAACTCGTTTCCCAACGACAGCATTGCTTATACGGTTGTCCCAGGATACACGAGCAATGCTTCGGAGACATCGATGATCAAAGACTAGTAACCTACGAGTGTCCTCTACTCTTAACGTCCATGTTTCGCATCCGTTAAGTAGGACAGAGCGAACTGCTGTACAGTACACTGGTACTTTGGTCAACAAGCGAATATCTCGCCTGCAAGTTGGCAAAAGCCAATCGAGCCTTCTGTATCCGTGCTGAGATTTCGTCAGTCACCAGGCCATCAGGACTGATGAGACTGCCAAGATAAGTGAATCGGTCTACACGCACAACTACTTCACTCCCTATCTCCAGTTCTGGTGTTGATGCAACCCAATCTTGAAGCAACATTCTGCATTTCGAGGGTGGGAACCGCATCCCGAACATGCTTGCATTGTTGCTTAGGGTGGTGAGAAGACTCTGCATTTTGTCAGCGTCTTCACAAAATAGGACTATGTCATCGGCATAGTCTAAGTCAATAAGCGAGCTACCTGGTAAAAGGTCTACTCCTGAAAAATCTGACGAGGGTAATGTTAACTCTAAAAACATGTCTATGATAAAATTAAACAAGCATGGAGAGAGTGGACAGCCCTGAGGGACACCACTTGAAGTAGATAATTTTGATGACAGTTCGCCATAGACTCTCACCCGACCAGTGGTGTTCCAATAGAGAGCTTGTATGAGGTTAATTTACTTCTTTTTGTACAACTTTTGATAACAGACAATGCCACAGAACCTCACGATCCACAGAGTCGAATGCCGCCTTTAGGTCCAGGAAGACAACTATTGTAGGACGTCTAAATGTGTCTGTGTTCATGGACCTGTCGTAGAGTGAAAATCTGGTCTATACAGCCACGTCCAGATCGAGAAACCAGCCTGATTTTCTCTAGTCTGCTCTTCACGAGCTGTAGTTAAGCGTCTAAGGATCATCGAGAAAACCAGGCTGGTTTTCGACGTGGACGTGGTTGTATAGACCACGTCTTCACACTCAGACGGGTCCCTGAACATAGACACACATTTAGGCGTCCTACAATAGTTGTTTTCTTAGACCTTAAGGCGGCATTTGACTCTGTTGATCGTAAGGTTCTGTGGCAGTGTCTGTCATTGAAAGGTGTACCAAAGAAGTACATTAACCTTATACAAGCTCTTTACTCGAACACCACTGGTCGAGTGAGGGCTTATGGCGAACTGTCACCGGAATTCTCTACATCAAGTGGTGTCCGTCAGGGATGTCCACTTTCTCCATTCTTGTTTAATTTTATCATAGACATGCTCATAGAGTTAACATTATCCTCGTCTGAATTTTCAGGAGTAGACCTTCTACCAGGTGGCTCGCTTATCGACTTAGAATATGCCGATGACATAGTCCTACTTGGTGAAGACGCTGACTAAATGCATAGTCTTCTTACTACCCTTGGTAACAATGCAAGCATGTTCGGGATGCGGTTCCCACCCTCGAAATGCAGAATGTTGCTTCAAGATTGGGTTGCATCAACACCAGAACTAGTGATAGGGAGTGAAGTAGTTGGGCGTGTCGACCACTTCACTTATCTGGGGAGTCTCATCAGTGCCGATGGCCTGGTGACTGAAGAAATCTCAGCACGGATACAGAAGGCTCGATTGGCTTTTGCCAACCTGCATCACTTATGGCGTAGGCGTGATATCCGTTCTCTAATCAAAGGACGAGTGTACTGTGCAGCAGTTCGCTCCGTTCTCCTATATGGCTGTGAAACATGGCCAGTGAGAGTAGAAGATATTCATAGGTTACTGGTTTTCGATCATAGGTGTCTTCGAAGCATTGCTCGTATACCGTGGGACTACCGAGTGAGCAATGCTGTCGTTAGGAAACGAGTACTAGTTAAGGATGGCAGATCAATAGATGAAGTAATGAAACTTCATCAGTTGAGGTGGTTGGGACACGTGTTGCGTATGCCGAACCACCGACTGCTTTATTTTGTGGTGTAGGAGTAGGTTGGAAGAAAGTTAGGGGCGGCCAAACCAAAACATGGCAGAAATCCATGAAGTCATTGACTAGTGGACTGAGCCATGTCGGTAACTGTCGACTACCTGGTTGGGGTCCGCGAGATGATAATAATCGATGGTTAGAGACCTTGAATGACATGGCTCGAAATCGTTCGCAATGGCGCCGGTGCATTTATTCTTTGTGTTCTCTCAAATCATAATCTTCTGAGTTCTTCAACACCTCTAGTTTCGACTCTCTAAACTTTTCTCACTGAATCATACTTCTTGAATAGTATCTTGTAATCCTAACCTCTCTGATTACTTCTAATTCCCTTACTACCTCTTCTACAATTGGATTTGAATTGACGATTACTGCTCTGGGCTGATGTGGTAAGGCAACATGAACTGATGTATTTATGTACAAAGTTCAACGTTGCATCTGACTGACTGACTAAGGATCATCGAGACTAACAATTTAGAAACTGTATTAGTTAGACTTATTCTCCTGTGATTGTCACGAGAGGACTTTTGTCCTTTCTTGTAGACTGAGACTATCAGTGATTGAGACCAGTCGGATGGAATTACGCACAGTTCCCAGATTCTACCTAAGATCTCGGTCAATCTGGCTGCTAAAGCTGGACCACCATCCTTAAACATCTCAGGGTTCAATCTATCAGGACCCGCTGCTCTCCTTAACTTCAGATTTCTTATCGCTTCCTCAACTTCATAAAGACCAGGAGGACCTATATCGATTTGCCATTCAGGATGACTGTGGATCGTGGGCAACCGAAGATTGGCTGAAGGCCAGTTGAACTGATTTTTTTAAGTGTTCTGTCCATCGGTCCAGTCTCCTGGAATGAGAATGGATAACAGTCCCATCATTTTCCGAGATAGTCTCACCTACACTAGGATTCCTAATACCAGTTTCCTTGATAAGTCGGAAAAGTTGTCTACTGTTGCCGATCGCCGCTGCCTTCACCATCGCTTTTGCCTTCGTCATCCACCACTGTTCACGGTCATTACGTAGGCTTTTTATCAGCCTGTGCCTACGCTGACTTCGCTCTTCATCATGTTCAGAGTCAGGTGGGATGCGTTTTCGAGCATCCATCAGTTCGGTAAATGCTAATGAGATCCACGGCTTCTTCCTATCCATATCGTTTACCTAACTAGCAGTTATCGATGCTGTTTCCACAGCCTTTTTGATATCATTCCAACCTGCCTCCGGACGGGAATCGCTTAAATGGTCGCCTAACTGTTTTTCTAGTTGTTCCTGAAATATATTCCTAGCTTTATTATCATTAAGTAAAACCCTAAGAGGCTTCCTTGCGGTGTCTTTCCTATGTCCAGTAAGCCTCAAACAAATACGAGCTCGCACTAGGGCATGATCTGAATCTAAACATGTGCCTCAGAACGAGCGAAAGTCCTCTATCGAACCTCTCCATCGGTGGATGATGGCAACGTGATCTATTTGGGTCCAACATTGAGACATCTTCGGGGGTCGCCAGGTCAAAAGGTGCTTTTCCTTATGCTTAAAATTAGTGTTTGCTAGAAATAGTTGGTTATCTGAGCACAGTTGCAACAGACGGTCGCCATTGTGTGTTCTTTGAGACGCGACACCATAAGATCCACCCAGGTGTCTTTCATTTTCACCTAGTCTACCTACTTGAGCATTGAATTCACCAGCCATTATTACTACATCAGAGCACCTAGCTTTTTGGAGGAGGTTCGATAACTTTCTGTAGAACTCGTCTGTACTGCAGTCAGTAGAGTCATAGGCAGATACGACGAAGAGGCAACGACGAGTGTCCCTATCCGTCCGAAACCTTACCGTCCCGTTCAGGCGGACAGCGCACAAGCGACTATCTTCAGGGATCCAGTCAAGGAGAGATTGTTCTGCCCTACGACTCAATGCTATACCTACACCAGCGAGACCCCAGGAAGCAGCATCAGGGCTACCGGATACGCGTTGAGTAAATTGGGATGCTTCTGTATTTTGACAAGGCGAAATCAGATTAATGACTTTACTAGTATCCTGTATGCGCGTTTCCGAGACGCAGCATACATCGATGGCACGAGATTCTAAAGTCCCAGCTAATGATGCACGTTGCCCTATTTGACATAATGTACGTACATTAAATGCTCCAACATGTAGTTTAGAACGGGGTTTAAGGAGACCGGGAACGACGTTTCGTGAACTCTCATTTTTGCATTACCTTTGCACTGTGATTAATGAATGTGAGAAGAGTTAGTCGTAGAGACAAGAGTTGTATTAGGGGTTGTAAGAAGGATTTGATTTTGACCAATTCGGTCTCGTGTGATGTTACGGTTATGAGGGCGGTTGTCACTTCCCGGCTGCCCACACCGTGGAAGGTTGTTTCTAGAGGAACCTGAAAAGGAAGATAGATTAGTGTTGGTCTTGAAGACCTGGGAGCTTGACCACAGAGCCCAAGGTACAACTGCTTGAGGCCGTTCACACACGGCCTTTTTATGAATGGTTTTCTGAGTATTAGCTGCGCTCCTCAAGGCCCTTACTAGCTGCTCTTAGTCTCATCGTTCTCTAATCGACCTGCCTGGCATGGTAGAACCTTCAGGAATATATGTTACAGCCAATATAGCTCGGTTGGGTCATCACGGTAGTCAAGCTCGACCACCACGTCAAGGTTGCAACTATGGTCGGGAGTCACTCGATTACCCCGTATAGTCGTAGTACAACTTCGCCGCTCCTCAACTGACCTATCCAGTTTGTTTAGACCAACAGAAACTACCGTTCTAGCCAATATACGTCCGTTATACATCATCATCTGATTCATACCTAACTGCTATTCCACGGTAACACCTATGAGTATTAACTTCATATACTTACAAGATGGAACCAATAACTAACATAGTAAATGTTAGGAATTTAAGGCTCTCACTTTTATGCAAAATATTTCGTCGAAATTGTCTGCTTAATAGTTAGTAGTTAGTTCATTCAAAATTTAAGCGATAAAAATGATTTAGTGTAAAAATATCAAACCTTATGGGTTGGTAACTAACATCATTTCATCAATATCCATTTTGAATCATTTCTGCATTTCTTTTCTTATTACTACTGCCGTACAAAACTGTATTCGTTTTGTTTTTCTCAAATAGGTTATTCATGTCAATTATTAACTCAATCTATAAGTTTATTAACTATGAATACAAAGTCATTAGATCAGACACGTGAACAATTAGTTAATTTAATTGAAGATTTTGGTGATCGAATACGAATGGAAAATGAATTCGCTTTAATTGTTGATGGTCAAGTGAGTAGTTTCACTAATTTCTGTTTTTTGTTGTTGTTGTAAAAATATGTTGATGTATAAGTGTTGTTAATTTATGTGGTGTTTATTATTAGTATTAACATTAGTATTAATATTATTACTCAGACATCATACTGGATAGTTGTGCTTTATTCAATGGAAGTGGCAATCTGAGGTAGTACTCCCATATTTGAACAGGGGAAATTCACACGAGTCAGTCAACTAAAAACAATGTAATCTATAGCATTATTAGAAATAGCTTTAGTTATATTGCTAATAATATTCAGGGTTGAATTTTAATCACTTTTTAACATATTTACATCCGATGTGAGTTGCCTCGTTGTAGTCATTATGTCACAAGTTATTGTGGAATCGATGGATTATGACTAGGAGTAGAATCCAGGACGCGCTTTACGTTGTATTTACATACAACATACATACTATCGGAATTCAGTTACTCAGGGGGATAATGCGTTAAGTATTTGAAGAGAAAGTCTCTGGACTCGAGTGAACACTGACACTAAAATACATCTACTTCTAGTTGACTAGTCTAAAACAGGACTAAACTTACTTCCTGTACACCATCACTAATTACACTCCATCTATTCTGGACAAAATTCAGTTTTCATTCATTTCTTACCCGGTATCAATAATTCGCATGCAACACATTTTAGCACTAATACATGCAAACATAAACTTACTTTTATCGATATAAACATTTAAGTGTTGTTATCATTATCTGAAATCATATTCTTATTTTACTTTCTCACATGTATCTCCAAACAGTATTTTGTAGATTTTTTTTCACTGAATGGAAGTAAAATACAACTGACAACGGAAAATCTTATGGTTTACAGAATAAATAATTGTGTAGGTTAGGGTACTGCTCAATTACCAAAATCGAAACAGACGTCTGGCATAATAGTTTAATCCGATAAAGTATTGGAGTAACGTCACTAGTTGCCCGCTCATAACCGTCCCCCCAGTGACTAAACAGTAGGTTTGTAGAATATTTATTCCCTCAGGATCCTAGCTTTCGTAAAAATCACATTGTTAAACGAAGGCAGTGTGTAGTACCTCGGTGACAAACAAGGACGTATTAAAGCTCAGACGTATGATGAGATTTCGAGAAGGAGAGTGAACCTTATCCATCTCCGACTGTGCTATGACATTCGCGAGGATTTCGTGCAACTGCCAAAACGGTTAACGTAATCTGTTAACACCATTTAACTGAAGTATTTTACTGCTTAACTTTGAGTGAAGCGCCTGAAAGCGTTATTGCTTCTTTGAAATTTTACTTGTTGTTATAATCGAATAGTAACTTAGTGGAGAAATCATTCAATATTTAATCAAGTTAACATTAGACTCGAACCCACATTTCGTCTGCTTTAGTTTAGGCACAAAAATTTATCATTTAAAACTGAGTGTGCGGGAGTAATGAATGACACCTCTCTGATTATCATCCAATTATTGACAATAACATATATGATGAAAATTCACCATTCACCTAAATTCTTTTTGAAATATACATTTTTCAGACACTGGAGTATGCGTTATTATGTGAATGTAGAGAACAATTTCTGAATGTTGCTTTATCCTGTAAATCGGTTATATGTTGCAGGTAATTGATATATGTTTGTTGCGTAACTATATATATATATATTTCATTATTGACGAAAAGATTTTTGTATTTGCAATGTATTAATTGTTGGGGATTTTCCCTCTACATTTTTTGTTTATATTATATTTAGACTACTGTCAATAGAACAGTTAGTCTTATTTTAAAAAGTACAAAGAAAAATTGATGAAATTTTGAAGAGACAAAAAAAAAAAGAAATGAAATCCCAGACATATTCATCCATGGACACATATTTTTTTTCTTGTGATTAGATGATTGAAGTCAGTTAGTATAGAGCACTTTGTTTAACGTTAACTTCTTTGCTTGTTTTATTATTCTGCAACTAGTCGATAATAGTCATTAAATAATCATATATATACACTGATAGATCAGCATTGAAGATTAAAACAAGCATCAATGACTTTTAATCAAAAGTTTATCATGTTTCATATTCATGATAACAAATAACAAATTCGGATATATGGTTCATATTATTGATGAGATTTCATTTTCTGATTATCAATAATATACTTGTTTGTGTTTTAACCATAGGACAGTATATTTTGAAAATTTGTACAGAATTCATGCTTGATCAAGTTGGCATGAACTGTTTGACAGAAATAATAATCAATCTGATTAGTGTAGGAAGATTTGTGCGGATTATAGAATTTTTATACTTTCTATCATGAAATGATTAATTACCATCACAAACCTAGAAGCACTGGATGGCTGTTTTGTGCTGATGTGGGGCTTCTCGACAGTGCACATTCACGACCCAACCTGGAATCGAACACAAGAACTCTGGTCTCTTACATGTGAACGCTTAACCTTTAGTTAAACCACTGATCTGGCATCAAACAATGTTAGTATTTAACTCCACGAAAATGCACAACCATCTTCCATTAAATACGGTGGATAACTGTCTCATCCGATACGAATTGAACTCCACTGGTCATGGTTATTAATTAGAACTACAGGAGTTACATCCTAAAGCCTATTTTCCACTTTCTTAAAAAATTTGACTTATGGACTATTTTAAAATAAACGTTTTTGAACAAATTTCATACGAAAATGTAGAACAATGAATGCTTGAAGTTGTGGGTATAGAAGGCGAAGCGAAATGATTTTATAGGATAATATTGGTAATTATTTACACTCCATACAAAAAGACAGATCTGGTGGCCTTAAATCTGTTGTTAAGTGTACAAAGTGACATCATTTAAAGCAATGTTAAACATTTGATATGAATTAGACATTAAATTTGCCTTGGTTTGAAAATTACTGTACAGTCATCAAAAAAAATGCTTCGACTTAACTGTCATTTCATCGAATTATCGTTTTTTCCAAAATTCATGCATGATGTTCTGTATGAGTCTTAACAGTGAATCACTCATTATGATTCCATACTCAACACTGCTATGAAAGTTTACAGTGTGTGTGTGCACATGAGCTGATATACACACATATATTCTCTGTAACTTATTTGAGCTGATGATAATATCAGTAGTAGTTATAGTAGCAATAGGTCACTGAAAAGTGAAAACGAAAGGCTTTATTATTATTATTGTCTGTCTGTTTCATCAGAGAGCGATTTTCTCTGTAGTGATCTATCATTTCACGTGTCTCACATGATTTATAATTTGTTATGCAAATAAGCATTGATTATAACGGAATTGATTTATGTATATGGTAGAGAAATCAATTCCAGTCAGTTTTTGGTTTTGAAGTTTGTTGACTTTCATTAAAATTACAAGCTAATCTAAGTTAAATATTGGAAATCTGAAAACACTAAATGACCGTGTCTGATTATGAGACTCCCCAACATTGCGCATCCCACATACTGACAATTATCATATGCTCACTGGTGACCAGCTTTAAGAAGAAGTTTTCGTAGTTCTAATTCGAATGCATGACCAACGAAGATAAACGGTGTCGTTTGTGAGTAATTTATCCACCAAAGACAATCGGAGATGATCGTGTGCTATCTTGAACCAATTAAAGTTACATATGTACACTACTGGATACCAGCCTGCCTGTTTGGCTAATCTTATTACATTAGTTAAGTGAACTTTATAAATTCACCCAATAATTCGTACAACGACTGACTGATACATCAATCCACATATTAAACTATCTAACACATACACAGTTCCATATTTCTGAACTTACTTAATTCTGATCGGATGTTGATGATAGAGTGTATTGAGGAAATATCATGTATATCATCTGTAAAACATCGCAGATTAGAGTTTTTTGATATCATCACATTGTTATGTAGATTTATTCGATTATACAATGAGATTAATTGACGAAAAATAAATTAAACAGAGAATCATAAAGTATTATCAAGATTTAATTAATTTCATGTGCTCTATAATGTTCAAGTTTTGTTGTGAGCAGTAACAATACTACTTATTTTCCATACTGGAATTCAATAGTTTAACTTCCTTTCTCTACTCCAGTCAGCTTTGTAATTATAACATGACCATCATTATTAGTGTGTATAACTATTGTTTCTATTATATTTATTTTTTAATATATACATTAATTGTTGTTACATTAGTAATGTGAGTAATGTGTTGTACGCAATTCGATTTTGATACTCACAAACAAGCTTCCTATTCTTTAGTCTAAACCAGTTTCTTAAGTAAGAAGAAGATTGAGAGCAGGAACACAGATCTTTATTTACCTACTAAAACGAGAAACATTTGCCCCTTAGATATTTAAAGGACAGTTTTCATCAGTCGAGCATGTCTCATTTCATAGTAAAGAAAGCCAAAACAACCAGCTCAGAGAACGAAACACCACCACAAAGAAAGCCAAATCTCAACCGATCACATGGGTTTATTATTCAATTGATATCTGATTAACCTATCATTTCAGTTTTAATTCATATTATCTTATTTTTAAAATATTTTCTGTTTTTTAGAGTTAGTCCGTGGCAAAAAGCGCAATTAGTAAAATTAGTTCGTAAATCAATTAAGAATGTAGTCACATTAGCTATAGGCGATGGAGCAAATGATGTTGGAATGATACAAGTGAGCTTTTGTCAACATTGGTATATTGATCTTTAGTTTAATCACAGATTGTTGTAATATTCTCTCAGGCATTACTTTTACTTCTGAAGGTTTATTTCTGTATAATAATCGGTAAAGGTTTGTTTTTCTGGTTAATGAAGGGAACCCTAAACTGATACTTGGAGTCGTCAGTCCATGGAGTTATTGTGTGTTGTTCTCTCTCGTGTTTTCAGTTGTAAATTATCTTGTTTGTTGATCGCACGATAACTGAGTTCAGTAGTTAGTCAAAATGACACAGAAAACTAATCAATCTTTATCTTCCTCTGCATATTGAGTACCCTAACTTTTTACTAAATATTTAGTCAGTTTCATTTGCTTAAAATACATCATTTATTTTGGTAATTTCATTTCTTTGTGCCAATAGATGATTAGTCTAACAGTTACAATTACCAAACTGTACGTTGTTTATGACTGATCGATTGAATAAAATGATTCGTTTATTAAAGCGTTAAATCTTCAAACAAACATCCAGGCACGTAACAGATTTAATGGCTAGATACAAATTGTATATCAACCAATGCGATTTTACTAGTTTTTTTCAAACAATGTTACATCTATTTCTCTGTGTAGTTTATATGATTTAACTGAATCTACTTAAACAATCTTTGAAAACTAGGAAGCAATGGACTGTCATTTTGTTTTAGCATAGGACTACTTCACAGTGCATATTCAAGACTTGGCATCCGGTAATAAAATCCAAGACCTTCGAACATGAAAGCAAATACCTAATCTCTAACTCAGCCGGCACCCGGTGGCATATAAGTTAAACTGGATGTCCTGGGTTCAGTTATTATTTGCAAAATAATGGATGCCCGCTGCTAAGAAGTCCCATGCTAGTGTAGTGGATGCTACTCACAAAGTAGCTTATAAGTATCATTCAGAGTAGTGTCGCTTAAAACGTACTCCCAGAGAGAAGAGTATTAGGATGCCGTAATGCCTAGGGCAATACGAGTGTTTCGATGACCAAATGAGATGTGAGGGAAGACAGTTAATAATTCAACCGGATAGCCAATCGGTGGTTGAAGACTATGTGTACATCTCTCGTGAACTAACTGTCTTCTCCAAATATATGCATATTCCATCTGATCTTGAATTCTTCATTTACAACTACACTAAGACTAAAGGACCTTTCAATGCTTCCAGGTTTTTAATGGTTGTTTAGCCTTGATTAGCTCGTGATTTCAATGAAATCTAACCATCTTCACAACCCCATATTGACAATTAACTTTATATCTGCTGATCTCAGTTTTTGAAATTAATAAAACGTTATTCTTCAAAGCGAACTGGTCCCAGTGAGTTTTAGAAGAAATATGGGACAAGTGATTAGGTTTTTATGTTATCGAATAGTACTCCACTAAATGCGCACCCATGATATGATGTGGAATATAGGCGTCATGTCTTTCAAACCACATTTGGCATTGCCCATAACAAAGTGGTTTACTAATTTAACAGAAATTATTTCACTATGAATTATGATGTCGTTATTCATTGTCATTCGATAAATAATTGATACCATATATCATAGTTTCTTGTTATAAAATGTCAGATTCGATTCAGTTAGATGAACATGGTTGGTAAAGCTACAGAGTTTGCCTGCTTTAACAGAGTAAGTATTAGGCTAATCTGAAAATTTCGAAATCGATTACCCTTCTAGTGTTATTATTCATTAACTGGAAACCATTTACATAGTTCTCTTTCATTTGTCCCTTTATTATGTCTATGTTGTAACACTCAGTAGGTATAGACGAACTTTGAGTAACCCGTACGCAAGAAGGATGAGAAAACTCCATGCTTACCAATGGGTTCGATTTCTAACTAGCCCCGAACACAGAGGAAGAACAGAAGTCCAGTGATTACCACCAGTCTATGATCCAAGATTGTTATTATACTTCAGACACTCATTTATTTGCATACAAAGCCACACCACATCAAACCCGTAAATGGAAAATTACAATTATAAATGAATGAGCCAAAAGTGGCTGAGTAGGTGCATCTATAAATCACAAACGGGCTACAAAAGATGGATCATATGTTAGTAGTTTTTGAGTTAATGGAAAGCTTATAATAAAAGGAATATATTTACCTGGTAATCTAGGTAATTAATGACTATATACAATGATAATCCATAATTTGGTTTTCTAAATTACTGTTACTTTAATCTTCGTTCAGATATCTAACAATTAGAAGTTATCTACTTGCCATGTCTATCAGGCAAGTGTGAAAACTCTCACCTGACAAATCGAAGCCTATCATTGGTTAAAACTTGAAACGCTAGGCTATGAACAAGTTATTTCACATGGGGTAGAGAAATTTTATTCGAAGGATATTTTTTGATGAATCTTATCAAGTGATAATGATCTAACATGGATGATTTGCATTCATTGTACCGATGGTAACTCTTTATATCTGATGTCTAGTTCGTTCATAGTAAAACACTGAATCTTCACATAACCTTTAAGAAAATGATTGCTTTGATTTTATTTTAATTCTAATTTTTATCTTCATTGTTTCTTTTAAAAACAATACTTTATAGGCAGCTCATGTTGGTGTTGGAATAAGCGGTATGGAAGGCCGACAAGCGGCATGTGCTTCAGACTATACAATAGCACAATTTCGTTTCTTAAATAAATTACTATTAGTACATGGTGCTTGGAATTATAATCGATTAACTAAATTAATACTTTATTCATTTTATAAAAATGTTTGTCTTTATTTAATACAATTTTGGTTTGCTATATTAAGTGGATTTTCTGGTCAAATTGTATTTGAACGATGGAGTATTGGTTTATATAATGTGGTAAGTGATGTGATTTTTATTTATTTATTTAAACCCCTTTATATTGTGTTGATACAATGGTACAACATCACACTGTGTATATATATATATATGATGTACACCTGGACTACTACTACTACTACTGTCTTTGTCTCGAAACCGAAGCAAGTGTTTTTCTCAGTGTGCTACTTACTACCCTGGGACTATGACCTACAGATCTCATTCACAAGGCTGTAGAGCAATGTCAGGAGATGCTGTCTCTTGGTAGCTGATGACCAGCAATAGGTTCGTACACCTTTTCCTCCCTCAGTATCCTATGTAGATTGTTAATAATAATAATAGAAGTGATGATCTATTCATAATATATCAATCAGTATAGATTTGTATTTCTGATGTTCCACGATCTAGTTAAAGTTCCTCTTTCAAAACGAATCAATAACTAACCGAATTAAAAAAAAAAGTAATTAACAGGTATAGTATTTCAAACTTGTATTGGTTTTATATTTAAAATGTGACTCACCTATATCTTTGTACTTAATGAATGAGTTAATTTAGATTGTTTAGTTTCTGTATAAATTTAATGTTACTCAGTCAATGACATTTTGTCATCAGTTATTTTGTATGATATTGATTGTTTGTATAAACTGTTATAACTTCTGCATGTTCAATATAGTAGTTAAAATCTGAATGTATTATAATCACTGTATCTAATACTTGCATACTCTACTGAACTATATGAATTTGAATAAATATACCACTCGGGCTAGTTTTTTACTATACATTGACTCTATTGCTCACTTAGTAATAATGTTAAGTGATATCATTTCTATTAATGAAGGAGATTTGCGGAGATTGGATTATTTTATGGTTGAAATGACGAATTGATCTAAGCTAGACTACCACTAGAAACCTGAACTCAGTGATAAAGAGGCTAAGTGTTGGCGCGCGAGGCCAAAGGTCGTCAGTCCGATTCCCGTATGCAGGGGTCGTGGATACGCACTGCTGATGAGTCCCATACTTAAACGAAGCGGCCGTTCAGTATTTTCAAGTGTCTAGTAGTGGTCTAACATTTATTGATTCGTGGTTTCAACTATGAAGATGTGGATTTCGTCGGGTCCTCTTAACATTGATCGAACTCTTTCAATGAAGTTGCATTGTAGCTACCTATTTTAAGTCCCTTAATATCACGTAGTCAATCTCTTAATCCTAGTTGATGGAAAGTAGTTGGTGAGGATTCTTGTACCAACCTGGGTTTGATACTAATTGACTCATCTGTCTACAAATTGTACCTGCAATCCTAAAAAAGTCGATACTGCCTGTGTCATTCGACCCAGAACCGACTGTAGTTTCACAGTCTTATTTTCTTGCCAACTGCCATCAACCACCCAATTTTTCTGTTATTTTGTTTATATCTACATGCTTCTTTCGTTTTTATTGGCCTTTTTCTTGTTGTAACCGATTAGATATTCACTGCAGCTCCACCAATGGCGTTAGGATTGTTTGATCGAAGTTGTAGCGTTAATAATTGTTTAAAATATCCGGAATTGTATAGAGATACTCAAGCATCAGCTTCATTCAATCCGAAAGTAAGTCTGTATTAATTATCATGTTTTCATACGTGGTGTAATAGTGTTTGCAACATTGGATTTTTAGGCTGGATCTTCACTTAACCTATTTCATTCTAGGCAACTAGGTTTTATCGTTAGACCTTACACGTAGAGTGTGACTGATACCTAAGGTACCTGGTAAATGTTAATAATGTTATTATTATGTATGCGAATACGTACGTTTTTGTTACATGTAATGAAAATTGTTTGGGAGACTTCAAGAATTTTGTGAAAATGTCTTTCGAAACTATAAAAGGAGCTTAAGAAATAATTCGTTCAATTACTTTTCAATGTGAACTTACCAAAAAGTTTTAATAAAAACGATTTTTATGGGTCGTGTTCTAAATAGATAATTAATGGTTTTATGATTGAATTAAGTGTGCTTCCGAGAGTTTCCTCACTTCTTGTCTTTTGTCTTCTGTTCAAGTTTTTAAGTGTGAAAGATTTCTGAAACAAATAGGAAATCAATATCACACATTCATATGTATTATTTTAACTAGTTCAATGCACTAAGTACTGTAATGTTACGAGAAAATGGATAGTAGGATAATGAGATAATAAAGATTTTTTGCTCAGGCGAATGTTTTTAGTGTTATGGTTGAGTTTACTGTGCTAGATAGTTTAAGTGCAAGGCCTTTATTTTCATTCTGAAAAACATTATCAGCGCCCTGTCAGCAACCGTGCTACATTTGAAAGATTGTTTTGATTTCTAATCACTAAAATTAGGACAAAGTGTGGCTTAATTGTCGCAGGTTCATGCATCCAACTCACCTAATTCACAGTATAGGATTATTGCGATTGTTGAGTTGTATGATATTGCAATGTCTTCGATTGATTGAAGTTAGACACTAACACTGTTGGATGTTAGCTCAACGATTAAGCGTTCGTGAGGGAGAGTGAAGTTCCTGGGTTTCATTTCTGGATGAAGGTGGGGTCGTGAACACTCACTGCTTTTTAATGCCGTACTACAACGAAACGGCCGTACAGTGGTTCTCCAGCATTTTCAATGGCGGTCTGACATCAATCCGTTCATGATTTCAGTTTAAACAATCTGGATAGTAGTATGGATTGCTTCCATATTTAGTGTATGGTTTAAAACTCAGTATATAAACCCGTAATTGGTAGGTGAATGGACTGAATCTCACTGATTTTTGGAGAAATCTCAGGCAATTAATATGATCTATTATCATGATTTTTTATTTAAAATTTTAGGTTTTCTTTTGTTGGATCCTCAATTCAATTTATCATTCATCTCTCCTATTTTGGATCCCATTGTTGGCTTTCTCTGTAGGTAAGTGATTACAAAAACAAGCAGTGTATATAAGTATGTAGTTGGTTCTTTTTAGGCACATCGAGTAAGAAATCGTGACCAGAGGTGTTAAATCTGAGAGACATGAACACTAAACTATTCAGACCGCTACTAACCTCCTGCACGACTTAGATGTACTTAAAATTGGTCGATCCTTGTGAAGTGAAGGTCCAAATGATGTTTGTGTGTTGATTGAGTTTTGTCGACCAAGTTCTTTCTTTTCTCTAAAAGATGACCCTCGATGTATAGAATGTCTGATATCGGCTGAGTTTATGATTTGAAAATCAGTAAATACCACTAAAAAGTGTTGTTTTATTCTGGGTTTTTTTATTTATTAGATAAATTAACTACTTTTCATCCAAAACTTTGTGCATTGCCATAGCAAAAAAGAAGGAGTTTAGAACTGGGACGAAACAGTTATTAAAACACATATCTTTGTATCTAGGAATCATCAGTTTGATGTACCTGTATCCCAGTTTTTGATGCTCCCATTGGGACACTTTGCTTCAAACCTCTAGCTTGTTATCCGCACAGTGGATTCTACTGCTATCCAAAATCTATCTACCGTACAGAAATTATAAAAAATATGTCCATATCTGCACAGTATATACTAATGAAGATTAACTAAAATTCTGTCGTGATAATCAACAATGCAATATACTGCAGATATTTTTCTAATAATAGTAAGACTTTGCTCCAACGTTACTTGCAGAGCTGGATAGCGGCTAGTATTAAAATCCAGGATGCGCGTTTCATTCTGTTTGGAAATCATCAGTCGCATCCTAGTAATTATGTTAGCTCCAAGCCTTTGGCTTTAAACGTAATCGCGTTATACACTTAGCTACTGAGTCCAAATAGCCACTCGCTTTTGCAGTGGGTGAAAATTGATTCATTTGTGTCGATTAAACCTTTCTATTGATGTTTAAGATTGTAAGTGATCAGTCCACCTCTGCTAATAATCCTTGTAACTGAAAGATAGTGTCGAGGAAATCCGCACAGAAAGCCCATATGCCAAAGAGACTGATCAGTTGCATTCCTAAATATCAATGGCAAGATTCAAACAATCAATACGAATGAACTTGGTTTCAACAGTTTTCAATGACTTTTTACTTTCAAGTCATTCTGTAGTGATAAGATTCACATAATCATGTTCATTGTTTGTTTTGTGCGTGTATTGATGAGAGTGAGATTGTTCACTGACTTCATCTGATTAATGTTCATACTCCTTTTTTCCAAAGCAAATCCAATTACATTGTAGTAAACACACGCACACAAATTCACCAATGAATATGCACTGCATTTCGCTTGTTTGCATGTTTATACTTTTCCTCTTTTCTATGTTTAGACACTGTCTATGCAAATGGCCAAACTTCAAGTTTATTTGTCTTGGGCAATAGCGTTTATACTGTAAGTTAGTTGTAAAATGATCATGCGTTTGAACACTTTATTCTCATTTTACTGAGATTATGCAACCATATTGCTATGTTAACTATACACATTATATCCGGACACTGTTCATTAAGTGCACGAATTGTACCAATTGCTTTTGGGTAATGTTTTCACTTCCGATCGTTATCTTTACGATTATTCTGTTTGTCTCACTATTCACCACACAATTTGCAAACGAAAAGTCGACAAAACCGCACTTTCGAAAAGCTTCTCGCCCGTAATGATAATTCCTGCCACTAATGTATGAATTTAATTGATCTTTACTAGTAAATGACCTTAGTGTGAATTAATATTCATTGATTGCTTTGTTTTCAAGAGCTGATTATATGTAAAAAAAAAATAATGTGATCGATACTGCTGAGTTGATTATCTATTAGTAACTTATTTCCAGCTAATGCATAAAATCCCACTAACACCCTGAAGAGGATTAGACAAGCCTGAAATTGCTGTCACTATGTGATCAGTTAACGTAACAAGAGTTACGTATGTTTAGCAACCGTCTACTTCAGTTGTCAATATCAATATCTAAGGCGACCGATTCCAACAGAGGTGTACTCACTCTTTTTATTCTCTTAGATGCTGAATGACGAAATCTCCCTGCATAGTTTATTTCTCCTGCTAGCATTGATGCTGTTACCATTTCTATTATTTTGATATTTGTCTTGATAATTTTATCTCACTGTGTTAATATGATGTGACAACTTGAGCTCGCGCAGGCATGTAACAAACTAAAAAATTTAAATCCTATGGGAGTAAATCGATTGTCACATGAATACCATACTGATGTCGTATGTCTGTCTCTCTCTCACGCTAAGCTCAGTTGCTCGTGTGCATTGTTGCCCAGTGGTTAATATGTTTGGTTTTCACCCCACCCAATCCGCAATTCAAACGGGTTAGTATCATTAGATCTCATGATTAGAGTGTGAAATATATCCAATTACTTGATGTATGAACTAGTAAAAATTAATAAAATAATTTTTACTCAGCTTTTTCATATTAAGTAAAACAGATTGTGCGACAAAATTATGAGCGTTTCCAAATCATGAAATATGTAACTAGTTGTAGAAATTTTTTAAATTTCTGTTCATTTTTCAAATAAAATTATTTTGATTGCTTATTCTGACACCCTTCATCTTTCATCGCTTAAATCACAAACTAATCTTAGATAGACTTTTATCAACAACCTTATAAAATGAGACGGCCGTTTCGTCGTAGTATAGGACTCATCATCAGCGCTCATCCACGACCCCATTGTAATATCGTGGATTGACTGAAATTAGATATACACACCGTTGGATACCAGCTCAGTGGTCTAGAGGCTAAGCGTTCACTCATGAAGTTGGTGGTCATGGGCTTCATTATCAAATCAAGGCGCAGTCATCGACGAATAGGGCTGGAAAGAACCATACTAGGAGTAAGCAACTACTCAATGCTTCTAGATTTAGAATGGTTGTCTAACTGAGAATAGTTTATAATTTAAATTCTGAAGGTTTCGCAACCTGAAAATTCCCTTCAACTATTCTCTTTTTGTTGAATATAGTTCTGTCTAAAGTTGACAACAGTATTCATAATAATACTACTAGTAATAATTTGATATTACCTGTCTCCACTCTACTTAAACTACTGTAATATTACTGATATCGGCTACTCAGTAGTTACGTTGTGATATGCTATTACCTATTGGCCTTTAGCGGCTCACGACTTGACTCCAGTGTGGACGAATGGTCAAGTGTGCAATGAAATAATTCTTCCTTTTCACTTCCGTATATTATACTCAAGCTAATCCCGTTTGTGCGACGGTGATAGTAAAAAGCCAAATTCGGTGTTGCGGATGAATTTATTTCATGCATTCGTTTATGCAGACAAACATTAGAAGGGAAGTGTACAAGTAAAATGAAGCGAATTGGAGAAGGCGAGTGAACCAACTCTCCGTGTGCTGAAGAATGACTAAGTATTTATAGTCAGGCAGTAATAAGCTAGACATGGGATAAGCCAGTAAGCATCCACAACACACAATCAAATATACAATAATCGGTACTGTAATCGAATTATTACAAATGCAAAATTATGATCGATACATTTATCGAATAATTTAAATGACAAGTCATTGAAGTACAATGAATGAATGGTTAGATGCTACACGTTGAGCTTTCCAGTTTTTTTTGGTTTTTTGTTTTTATAATCATGCTAGTCTGATATTATTTTATACACATCTTATGCACTTCTACCTGAATGATATAACTAAGAGTAAGTAGGAGATATTTATTATCTAATTCAAATGGAAATATCTTTTACTCTTGGTTCATTTAACCAAGTCTTTGCCAACAACATACACTTATCAATAGTTCATTTATGATATTGATATTGAACTGATCTGTCCGATTGGTTCAGCCTGTTTCTTTTGTAACAAAAGATTTATGTCTGCAATTTTGAATTCAACTGTAAGAATTAAGATGAATTAATCGTATGTCACTATACCATAGTTAAAGCAATATGACAATTATGATCAAACAGCTGATATTTCAAACAAACCACAAACTAAACTGATTGCTATGAATATCTATATGTATACTTTAAAATATTTTTCATTTATATGTTACATTTTCTCACTTGAAAGTGATAGAATTACATAAATTTTCATAAAAGACATCAATCATTACTTTTGCATATTATAATATATATGAATAGTTTACTTGGTGTGACCTTAATACAATAATATTTAATCTAATTAATGTCTCCCTATGTGAGTAGTATTGCTTTTTGTGTGACAAGTGTTAACGAACACAATGTTTAGGTTAAGCAAACTTTATCTTTGATTTACTATAAATACAAGTGACAATATCTTTGACTATGATAATGCGTGTTCGAATCGCACAACAAAAGCGCCAATTGTCATAAAGACTGAAAACTATGCCAATCGATTTTTTTCCTAATGGCTAATACACTTGAATTTTAGTCATTTATTTAACTTTTAGGTTTGGAACTCAGTTTCATTTGATTCAGTTTGGGCTTCCAATTAGTATCAGTATGTCTGACTTTTAAATTATAACTCTTAGTCAATTACACGGATTTGTACAGGGTAATGAGTTATCAATAATAATAATAATAATATACCTTGATAATGAGACAAATATCAAGTAGCATGAATGTTATATTTTCAAGATTTCCTATAATTTGTCCGTCTAGCCATCACCTAATAAACTTCAATACTGTTAGTGACCAAAAGGATATTTAGAATATCGTCAGTTAGTATTCACATGTTTAATTTGCTAAACGGACCTACTAAATGATGACAATTGTCCGAAATAACTAATTATTAGCTTAGAGACATGACTAGTGTTTCATTATCGCATCATGTTACGTCTTATTTTTCTTTTGTTCTTAATTTATGTTTTATGTATTTGTTTAATCCTCACTTTTCTCTTTCTCTCATACTGTTTTTTTATTTTTACAGTATGTAGTTGTGACAGTTTGTTTGAAAGCTGGTCTAGAGCATACCGCATGGACATGGTTATCACATTTAGCAATATGGAGTAGTATGGGTTGTTGGTTCTTATTTCTGATCATCTATCCTCATGTTTATCCAACTTTACCATTGGCATCAGATATGGTTGGCATGGTAGGTTCTGTGTATTTGTGCTTTTTTTCCTTATCCTGATAACATATGTATGGTGTCTTTTTCAATAAATGATTTACAATAACTATCAGTGAGGCACAGTAATTTTCAGTCACAATTAGGAACCTCATTCAACCTATTTTGCCTAAGCTATACTGGGTTAATATCTCTAGCCTTCATGCTGAATGTGTGACTCATACTCAAGTAACGAGTGTGTAAAGACCTCATTTTTACCGAATTTCCTTTCTGTTTTGTTTTCGTCATATTACTCAAGGATTCCGCTGTTTATGGATGCGGTATTTTCTGGTTTGGTCTCTTACTAATACCTATGCTGGCGTTGACACGTGATATTGCTTGGAAAATGTGAGTTTCATTTGTTATTTCTGTGCGTTGGTTGCTAAGGTGGTCGAATAACAGCAACAATCATGTGTGTATGTGTGTCATTGTCTACTCACGCTGATATTTTGCAACTAAAAATAGTATGAAATGCATGTTTTATTTATTCGTTCTTTGAAGAGATAACTTTAAATTTTAAAATCTTTTATTCCCTAGTGTTGTAGTATGTTTCATTATCAATTAATACTAGTGTCATTTTGAAATCGTTTATTATTTACAAACTGAAGTAATTTTATTGTTTATTTATCAAATTCAAAAAAGAATATTGCTTCTATTACAAAAGATTCTAAATTCTTATCTTTCAATGTATATTTCAGTAATTATTGTATGGATATACTTCAAAGATATATTTGATTATTGATGGATTGTCTCACCTGAAACAATAAAACATGTAATTTCATGAATTTTTTGACTAATTAATTCATGAAATGTTGAGAAAGACTCAGATAAAAAGATTTCCAGATACAACGAAACATACTATTATAGAGAGCCATTGAAGGGTGATTGGACGTGAAGGTAATCTGATGATCATCAGAAATATCCTAAAGGACGAATACATATCGTTGGTCAGAAAGCGGTTCCGTTTAAATGCGTTGTATATATATATATATATATATATATATATACGAGTATTTGTACTTATTTGGTAGCTAAATGGACTTTCTCTTCTCCTCTTGCCTTGTCGCTCAAGTATCCATTTTGGGTGGTTAGCCTGTATCACATTCAGATCTTGGATATTATATTACCTACACTGGTAATGATAGGTTGTGCTACATCTGACAAATCATAGATCTGACAGATCGTATTCTGCTTATTGACCATTAGATCAGTAGTAAGAGCTACGTTTTTCTGTCTATTTAACATCCTATTAACAAATATTCATGATTTCGATTTTATCGTTCTTGCTTAATCGATTGTTAAAAATAAAATTGTCTAAGTCGGACTGTAGAACCGTTTCAAATTTTACTTACTCCACTTCTATGGGAAATATACATTTACAACAATAAGGTAATTAATAAAAGGATGTTGGTGGAAAATGATGTGGTGATAAAATCAAAAATTTGTTTCACTGAAAACATAAGCTGATCTATGTTAGATGACCATTAAAAACCCGGGAGCACTGAAGGGCCGCGTCGTCTCAGTTTGGGACTCGTCAGTAGTGAGCGTCCACCACCCCATCTAGAGGTTAGGCGTTCTCACGCGAGACTGAATGTCATGGGTTCGATTCCTGCCCATGAGTTCGTTGATAACCACTGCCGAGGAGTCCCTAACTAGGACAAAACGTTTTCTAATGATGTTCTGACATTGATCAATTAATGATTTCAATAAAACTCAACGATCATGACAGTCTTATAGTGAAAAAAACTTGTTTTACCATATTTGTCTAAAGAGATATTTATTGGCTGACCATTCTAAATTACATCTTGTATCAGAATGAGTATAGGTTGAAAGTAGTTAATAGGAAATTACAAACTAGAGTTTTGTGCCTCTGGTCAACGAGGCACATCTGCAATCTTCAGAGGACTGATACCTCTTAGTGAATTCAAACCAAGGTAACTTTTTTTTAACGTTCATACCTAATAAAAACTTAGTACTCTTCATCATTTTTAAAATTCTTTTTCTAAATCATGGCCGGAATTATCTGCAACATTTTCGAAGATCGATAAACATGTACTCTCGGTCATTTTTCACTTAGTGAATGAATGTTGCATGCCGGAATAAAATTTTCAGTAAATGTTTCTTCTTAAGCATCTGGAATTGTTCACCCTTATCTGTTATGAACAGGTCAGTGTGATAGAACTTCAATTTTCAAATACAACTAAAGTACAAATTAGGGCATGAAATGAAGTCTCTAATATGGATTACAGTACTATGCAACACCCATCCTCTAAATACATGAACGGAACAGTGACTTAATAGTTGACCTGTTCGACTTTTAGCCACGAGGAATTTCCGAGTTCGTATCCCACTCTACTTGCTTCGATCCGGGCAACTAGATGGTATCATTAGCCGTCACACTGGGAGTGTGCCTCATATTTGATCACTTGGAAAATGAATTAATTTACATTTTCCAAACAAAAGAACAGCAGATGATTAGAGCTGAAATTCCTGGGAGTAGAACACACTTTTTGAACATTAAAACACTTTATGGATAACTTCAATATGTTGATCAGTCACAACTGACTAGTTTTTATACTTATTACACGTGTATTCACGGTTGTTTATCTAAATATTATTTTTTCATCAATTATTATTTTATAATTTTTCACAATTATAGAGCTAAACGTGTTACAGCTGGTACATTACGTGAACAAGTTATGCAAATGGAACAAATGCAAGTTGATCCTGGTCGTTTGATTCGTGCCAGTATTCGTCCAAAGTAAGTTGTTTGAATAATACCCATTGACGTATGAGATATATATATATATATATATCCCTTTTTTCATTTAAACTCACTTTACATTGATCATATGTGTGTATATGTTATGCGCATGCACTTGTTTTTTACTGCATGGAATATCAGATTGAATAGTCATGAAAAAAGATTTAAAATTCTTTTTTATTCAAATAGAATACTACAAACACTGATATTGTTGTCTCATTGAAATATTTATAAACTGATAATTTGGTATAATTAACAAATCTTTTAAAATGTATACTCATCAATTGTTGTTAAATGTTTCTTTTCTTTCTTTTTTTCAAAAATACCTCTCTCCATACATTTTATAATGTTGATTGACTTGTCGATAACTGATGTTGTTGACGTTTAAAACCTAAATAAAAATGTTACTACGTTCAAGTCCCGGTTCCAACATCAACACTGAAATACGAATATATCCAGTTGAAATTAGTAGGAAACATCTAGATGTTTTAAATTTCATTGCTTGCTAAAAAAATATACACCAATTGTGACATTTAAATGTTACATATATATTCTCAGCATCATCCATCATAGTACATTACATTCAATAGTAAACTGCATGAATTGACTAATAGAGTAATTTACTTCCCTTGTTTTTTGCTATTTTCTCTCTGTGTTGGAACAATTTTCCATTTCATCTTATTCGGGAATTCTTTTTATTAACAATGCATATACTATTAGGAGATTAGTTTTGTGAAATAGTTATTAATTATTTGGTTGTATTTGACACAACGGTTTAATATGCTTAGGCTAATGATACTACTACTACTTCTACCCAACTGTTCAAATTAAAGTTGGCACAGTGAGTTTCGAATCGGTTGAGGTTGAAAACCGGGGACTGACTTTGATGTTAAGTAAATGATTCTCTTTTAATAACTTGACTATATTTTTCTCTCATATACCAGATGATTTTACCACGGTACTATGTGATCTATCTTATTTTAGTTGATTTACCAGAGTTACTTAATATATTGTGTCTATTGTATCATTCTCATATTTAAGCAATTTGATCATATAGTCTAACTGTAATACACGTTGATCGGAATTATACATATACATACATGGATAAGTTACTATTTTTCGTATGGTTTAAGTTACCATGTTTTCAGTGTTGAGGGCTGGATTTTGACCAATCTATTTTTAGATATTTGCATCCTGAACGAAATACCTCGATATAGCCATTCTGTCACAAATTTTATATAGTAGATAGACTGCAGCTAACACTGAAATTCAAAACGAACATTTTGTCCTATTCAGACTCAGTCCTTAAGTTAACATGTCTATATCCTAGTGTTAATGTTCACACAGGGACTCGAACCCAGAACCTATCGTTTTGAATACTAATATGACTATGGGTACTGTAACGAATCCCAAGTAGGTTGAAACGCGCATCATGTTGGTTTAATACTGTCCACAATTCATTCGCTTACATTGTATTACACATTTATATTGATAAAATCTGTAGCTTAATATAAGTTATCAAGCAATCATATTGATAGTTAGACAAGTTTCTGTTTTTCAAAAACATTTGCCATTTTATGTTGCATATCCCAACCGTATCTGCTACTTTGACGTGGTGGTCGGGCTTGTCTATCGTGATGATCCAACCGAGCTTTATTGGCTGGAACATGTGTTCCTGCAATTCCTACCATGCCAGGTGGGTCGATTAGAGAACGATGAGACTAAAAGCAGCTACCCAAGGTCTGAGGGCGAAGTCGTACTGCTGACTGCAGAGGGGTGTGACAGCAGTAATGTGTTTCCCTCGGATAACCAGCATCTGCAGCGATGCTGCCTTCTCACAAGGAAGGAAGAGTTAGAAAAAGTCGACCCTAAAAATGTCACACCTCACCCTACCTCACGGATTTCCGTCCCCGGTGGTAAGGGTGTCTGCCCAGTAAGGGCTTTTAAGAGCGGAGATACTGCTCGAAAAACCTTTCATAAAAAGGCCGTGTGTGACCGGCCTCAAGCAGTTGTCCCTTGGGCTCTGTGGTCACGCACCCAGGTCCCCAAGACCAACACTAATCTATCTTCCTTTTCAGGTTCCTGAAGAAACAGCCTTCCACGGAGTGGGCAGCCGGGAAGTGATAACTGCCCTCATACCCGAACCAGCACACGAGACCGAATCGATCAAAGTCAAATCCTTCCTACACCCCCTAACTTCCCCTTATCTTCACGACTAACTCTTCCCACATTCCTTTATCACCTCGCACATCTGCTGCAAACGATTCATGTTCCCGAAACGTTACTCCTGGTCTCCTTAAACCCCGTTCTTAACTTCATGTTGGAGTATTTATTGTAGGTAGACTAAGTGAAAAGTAACGACACCTAAGTGGATCTTATGATGTCGCGGCTCAGAGAACAGACAATGGTGACCGTCTGTTGCAACTGTGCTCAGATAACCACCTATTTCTAGCATGAGCAAAAGCATCTGTTGATCTGGCGACAAACAAAGTCGTCTCATCGCTGGACCCAACTAGATCACATTGCCATCAGCCACCGATGGAGAGGTTCGATAGAGGACTGTCGCTCGTTCTGAGGCACATGTTTAGATTCAGATCATGTCCTAGTGCGAGCTCGTATTTGTTTGAGGCTTACTGGACGTAGGAAAGACATCTCAAGGAAGCCTCTTAGGGTTTTACTTAATGATAATAAAGCTAGGAATATATTTCAGGAACAACTAGAAAAACAGTTAGGCGACCATTTAAGCGATTCCCATCCGGAGGCAGGTTGGAATGATATCAAAAAGGCTGTGGAAACAGCATCGATAACTGCTAGTTAGGTAAACGATATGGATAGGAAGAAGCCGTGGATCTCATTAGCATTTACCGAACTGATGGATGCTCGAAAACGCATCCCACCTGACTCTGAACATGATGAAGAGCGAAGTCAGCGTAGGCACAGGCTGATAAAAAGCCTACGCAATGACCGGGAACAATGGTGGGTGGCGGAAGCGAAAGCGATGGTGAAAGCAACGGCAATAGGCAAGAGTAGAAAGTTGTTCCGACTTATAAAGCAATCCGGTATTAGAAATCCATCTGTTGGTGAAACTAACTCAGAAAAGGATAATTGTATCAATCATTCTCAATCCAGGAGATTGGATCGATGGACAGATTACATTAGGAATCAGTTCAACATGCCTTCAACCACATTTTGGCTGCCCACGATATCCAGTCATCCTGAATGAGAGACCAACATAAGTCCTCGGAATCTTTATGAAGTTGAGGAACAGATAAGAAATCTGAAGCGAAGTCGAGTTGCTGGTCCTGAAAGACTAGACTAGAGAAAACCAGTCTATTTCCAGACCCGGACGTGGCGGTATGTACCAGATTTTCACTCTACGACAGGTCCATGAACACAGACACATTTAGACGTCCTACAATAGTTGTCTTCCTGGACCTAAAGGCGGCATTCGACTCTGTGGATCGTGAGGTTCTGTGGCATTGTCTGTTATCAAAAGTTGTACAAAAAGAAGTAAATTAACCTCATACAAGCTCTCTATTGGAACACCACTGGTCGGGTGAGAGTCTATGGCGAACTGTCATCAAAATTATCTACTTCAAGTGGTGTCCCTCAGGGCTGTCCACTCTCTCCATGCTTGTTTAATTTTATCATAGACATGTTTTTAGAGTTAACATTACCCTCGTCAGATTTTTCAGGAGTAGACCTTTTACCAGGTAGCTCGCTTATTGACTTAGACTATGCCGATGACATAGTCCTATTTTGTGAAGACGCTGACAAAATGCAGAGTCTTCTCACCACCCTAAGCAACAATGCATGCGTGTTCGGGATGCGGTTCCCACCCTCGAAATGCAAAATGTTGCTTCAAGATTGGGTTGCATCAACACCAGAACTGGAGATAGGGAGTGAAGTAGTTGTGCGTGTAGACCGATTCACTTATCTTGGCAGTCTCATCAGTCCTGATGGCCTGGTGACTGACGAAATCTCAGCACGGATACAGAAGGCTCGATTGGCTTTTGCCAACTTGCAGGCGAGATATTCGCTTGTTGACCAAAGTACCAGTGTACTGTACAGCAGTTCGCTCTGTCCTACTTAACGGATGCGAAACATGGACGTTAAGAGTAGAGGACACTCGTAGGTTACTAGTCTTTGATCATCGATGTCTCCGAAGCATTGCTCGTGTATCCTGGGACAACCGTATAAGCAATGCTGTCGTTAGGAAACGAGTTCTAGGTAAGAATGGCAAATCAATAGATGAAGTAGTGAAACTTCATCAGTTGAGGTTGTTGGGACATGTGTTACGTATGGCTAACCACCGACTGCCGCGACGAGCTATGGTTTGTGGTGTAGGAGTAGGTTGGAAGAAAGTTAGGCGCGGCCAGACCAAAACATGGCAGAAATCCATGAAGTCACTGACAAGTGGGGGGACTGAGTCATGTTGGTAGATGTAGGCTATCTGGTTGGGGTGCGCGAGACGAAGGTCACCAATGGTTAGAGACTCTGAATGACATGGCTCAAAACCGTTTGCAATGGCGCAGGTGCATCCACTCTTTGTGTTCCGTCAAATCCTAATCTTCTGGATTAATCAACACCTCTACCTTTGTCTTTCTAATTTTATCTCACTGAATTATACTTTTCGAATCATATCTTCGCTCCCTAATCTTCTCGATTGCTGCTAATATTTCTACTATCACTATCACTCTTGGATTTGAACTGACAGTTACGTCTCTGTGCTGATGTGGTATGGCAACCTGAACTGATGTACTTATGTACGAAGTTCTGCGTTGTATATATCTGTCTGTCTGTCTGGGTGAGTTTATATCGTTTCGTTGGTGTGCTATTGGAACTTGATTGTAATCGGTTTTATGTTACTTAGGACTGACTGACTGTCATTTATAATTAGAATAAATTCTATGAAATGTCCTATGGACGCAGAAAAATTCTTCATTGTGTTTATGAACGAATGATGAGTGATTAAACTGCTCATTGTGATTTCACCCTTTGTTATCCGATCGTTTTTTATTTAATCAGGGAATATAGTTGTTCTTACAAACTATGCAGTCTTTGTTTCTAACTACCTTTACATTTTCGAATTCGAACGATGAAGTTATTATCGAGTAGTTAATGTTTTGTTTACGATAATATTGAATGTTCTTGGACAATTTACAAAATCACCTACTCTGACATTGAATGATGGAGTAGAATAAGTGGATCATATAATGAAGAAATGCCTTGTTGATACAACCATTTTTATTCATGATCGATGTCATGCATCTATTGTTTATCATTCAGTTTCTATTCATGTTGACAAGTGTGTAGAATGATGTACAGCTTTTCTGATTAAAGCTGAAGCTACAAGGTTTCGTGCTGAAAATCCAAGTTTTTGTATTCATAAGAGATTTGTTATAAGCTAATCACTTCATTAAGGCGTGAATTAAGCGTAACAAGTAATTTTTCCTATTTTCCACACCCCATATTCGTTTCCTTTTCTTCACCTCTCTTTCAAATATACTCTTCATTGTGTATATGAACACTTATTACGCAATCTAAATATTTTTTTTATTGAATATCATTTTCCAGGTTGTTGACCTACTTCCTATTATGAGATATTGATTGATTCAAGTCTTTATTATTCTTATCAAAACCGGTTCACCTGTCCTCAAACTATCAATCTGTACTTTTTACTGATTATGTTTAGTCTTGCAATATAATTATTATTGGCCAATAAACTGCCTTGATTGACTTTCTATTTTCAAATATGCCAAATGAAGATATAACTGAGAACAATATTGTTTGCTTATATATGTTGTTCTCATTTACACAATGGGAATTTTTCATATTTTAAACTCTGTTAACTACCTGTAATAAATAGCTAACCGAACGTTGGTGTTTAGAAGTGATCAACAGGAAACTCTACTTGACCTAGGTTACATGCAATTCGACACCCGTCAAAATGGTGTATACCTGTAACTTTGAGTGGATCATTGCTCTACGGCGGATCAAGTATCAACCCAGCTATCCAGGCCGTGATTGACTGTTAGACTGTCACATCGGATCTAATTAGCCTCAAGATTATATGTAAGTAAAGTAGTATGAAACCTATGTCTTGTCGACTACCTCCAACCACCCATCACCTCATCTCTCAACATAGTGTACGTGATGTTGAGTCACTTAGACTAGTGACCACATGTAACTCGACCGATAGGATTCGATCAACACTAAGAAGGACTTGGCTTACTTAAGATTGGTCAGTATCAGATCTGCAGTATTGCATCTAATATATCCTTGCACCTGTGTGATTGTCTGTGCTTTACTCGTATGATTTTATTGTCTTTCACGTTGTTAATTTCCCTGTTCTAGGAACTTTTCTAGTTTTTTTTATTAGGGAACATCGAGTCTGTTTGATTAACCTTCATTTCTTAGAACTAGTGTGTTTTACATATTTTACGACAGAATTTTTAAAATTTACCAACTGTTTTATTGTTGATGAACGACTAACCAATCACTATCAACACTTCGAAATGGTCATGGTATAAATATTAACCTCAAATTTCTGCCTATGACCTTATTATTATGGTTAATTTCAATAAGGAAAAGCATTATTGTTAGTTTCCTATATAGCGGGTTCAACTCATAACCATTATGTCTTAAGTTCAATTTGTATTTTGCCTAATTCGATCTAGGTAAATCGATAATATTACTAGTTCCCAAACATAAACTATGTCTTAAATCAGAATGGTCCAATTCGTACTCTTAGCCAGTTACATCATCAATTTGCATTGACTCCTTTACTTTATGGAAGCTCAGTGTTCAGTTGCGTACTATAATACAAATTAATCACTGGTTTCTATTGCTATAAACAAGCATACATACATAAATTATCAGACTTATTTTAATTCAGTCATTACATTTTCAATTGTATACATTAATAATTTACTAAGCCAATGAAATAAGATCAATCAATGTATACTAATATTTGACTTGACTATTTCTATTGACTTGTCTTAGTAACGAAGAAACGCCTTAATGTAAGTTTGAACACTGAATTTTGCTGCAGGTTTGTTCATTCAAGTGATGTGTGCATGTGTGTACGGGTGCGCTCATCTGTGTGTGTGTGTGTGTAGTGGTGGTGGTGGTTTAAAAGTAATCAGTATTCAATAATTTTATCATTTGTTAGATGAAGAGAACACATCCGAATTAATTCATAAAACGATGAAAAAAATATTTCAAATTATTGTTTTCAACCGGGTTTACATAAATTCAATCATTCACTTAATCACACTTTATCAGTTGAACTGAACTAGTTAAGTAGAAATGAATAGTTTTCTGTTGTTGTTGTTTTTATAACAATCCGACTTAAGAAACAATTCTTAATGAACTATCATTGAGTTATATAGTATTGGATGAACTAGTTTCTAATGTGAATCGAAAAATAGAGTAACTTCCCATTGAATGATGATTTATACACTTGGCTTATTCAACAAAAATGTAATTGTATGCATATACATCTTTTGTATTGGTTAATTTCAATGCCAAGATTTGTATCAGTTGAATAAGTTTTGTATAGTCAAATGATGTGTACACATAAATAGCTCACTCATTCACTGAAAAACTATATATCAAGTTATTGATGAAAATATACTTACATCTATCTAATATAAATGCTTTTTTATTGAATTGTGATGAATTCAAGGCAATTTGAACGACGAAAATTATCTTCTCGATTATATCATTTACTTAAGTTGTACAATCAATCGTATTCATAGTTCATTTATGAATGTAAAATAGTCTATTTTCAAATAGAAGAATGTTAACATTATATCATTTTTGTCAGAAAAGTTGCTTAACAAACGAGAATTTCAAGGAAGATAGTAAGACTAAATCAAATGCATAGAAGGTAATTCGTTCACTGAATGAGTGTGAAAGCTACAGTGAAAAATTCAAATCGAAAAGATTAAAAACCTTAGAAAGGAACTATTCATCAATTAATCACTGTTAACGGAAATTAAATGTTACGGCCATGAAAGAATGATGGCTTGCACATACACACAGTTTATGTTTCAAAAACTGGATTGCTAGTCCCACTTCTGTGGTACATAAATTATGAATTTCTACTCCGCTGGAACCAAATTTTCTGACTGTGAAGATAATTTTAAAGGACTTATCAGGGTTGACAAGATGTTCTATTATTGAACAGACGATCGTTTTACATTCGCCTGTCGAAAGCCATGCAAGATAATGTTTTTGGAGATGCCTTTTGAAAACGCTCGCATTTTGTACGGCGACCTGTAAACACGATTGTACAGCTTGAGTAAATAGTATAATTCAAGATAACGTTTTCTTTATTCGTTAATGACACCATAGATCACTGTCGTTAAGTTTCTACTTAACAAGTTGTTTAAATGATGACAATGTATCAGTACCTTCTTTTAATGTATACTAATTAGAAGATATTAGTCAGTTTAATTCCCTTATTCTATGCATGCCATATGAACTTTGATTATCTAACTTCTTTCGTTGTTTGACTAGACCGATCGTTAGAATTTTCTGTCAGTCGACTGTCCGAGTCATAGTCACTCTTTAAGCTTGACCAAAGCAAAACATTCAAATTCTAGAAACGACATATTGACTCCATAATGACTGAGAGAATGTACTATAAAATATTAAACTCCTTATATATTATACACTCAAGCTGATCCAGTCATACAATGGTGTTACTAAAAGCCAAATATGGAGCAATATTACTCATTGCAAGAGTTAATATAACTCAAAATAGACAATATATAGTTGTTATGATGTGCGGTGTCTGAGATTGGAAAGCTATAAGTGCTAACCTGCCAAAACTGGATACTTGTGTGAGAAAGCTACAAATACCCATATATATATATATATATATATATATATATATATATATATATAGTCACCTCTGATTTGCTCGCTATATCAATAATGCGACAGGGTTTTATGTTCTAACACCAACCAATACTCATCGATGACTTTTTGCAACCAATACACAGCAAGGACTAGAAAGCAATATTTTATGCTTGACCACTGCCCTAATACTGACCAACTCTGAGCAAAATACAAGGGACACAAGACCAATGATTACCACTCCACAAAGCAGACCAGTTGAGTAAGCAACAGGGCAAAACGGAGTAATGGGTATACAAATAATTGGTTCTAGTTTATGAATGACTAGTGCTGTAGCATTAATTTAAGGTTCAATTAAAAATTTAAAACTACGGTTATACGAAAATAATAAAACCGAAATAATAAATAAATATCCAAGCATATATATATATATATATATATATATATATATATATATATATATATATATATATATAATCGTTTCAAAAGTCTGTTATCTTATAGTTAAATCGTCTCTCACACGACATGGATTCAGTAATTGAATAAAGCAATAAGTGTACAGACTCTCTAGCACATAAGATATGTGAGCGTACAAGTACACCCGTTTGAATATAAACCGTATTTGTGTGTGCTTAAATTCTACGTTATCTCCCACTCATTGTAAACAGCATTGGAAATTGTCCAGACCACAAACAATAGAATGAATGTTTGACCGTAGGAAGTTATCATGTGCATCGATGCCTTGCATAATATCACTTTTATATGTATTTTTAAAGTTAAAGTAGTTTCTTTCCAGAAAATTCTTTCTCAAACCTTAGTTTTATTAATTTTCATTATTCTCTTTAATTAAATGTTTTATTCTAGAAAAGCGTCAATTGCTTGTAACTCTACAAAGTGAAATATATCTTCTGTCTATAAATGTATATATGTATATATTTGTGTGAAAGAGAGATAACCGATAATTAACAAGCACCCACACCTACCAATACCACCTACGCACATTCACATGTGTACATATGAAGATCATCTCATCAAAATTTACAATGAATGCATTTTATTTTATGATCTCTGAATGATGCTTGACTAATTGGGTTTGGTTGGTATACACAATGATGATCACAGCGGTAATAATGATGAGGAGGAGGAGGAAGAGGAGAACGTGGGGGAGGAGAAGGAAGATTGATTACCACTTCTAGCTACTCATCTGGCAAAAATGTGCATTTTTTAAAAATCTATTTAGATTACACCTGTTTTAAATGCATATCACTATATTTCCGGTTGATTTACATGGATGTAAATTCTATCGTTCTCTTGATTCTTTGGTCTGGCTGTGTCAGACTTATTTAAGTTTATAGCGTAATACAAAATAGATTCAGAGAGTTTGTTTATTTTCTTCCCGAATTTCAGAGGACATTGTTTCAACGTTGATCTTGGTTTCTTTCTCTTTATTTTTATAAATCTGTATTGGCACATTTTATACTCCTGATAGATAGTACTACTGTTTCATCTATATTCTCCATGACTTATGTACGTGCTCGAGTCTTAGTTACAACTTCCCCATCCCACCTTGCCGCCCTCCTCTCATTTCTTAACTTGATTTATATATGCACGAATTTCCTGATGGTGGTGACATGCCTGGATTCTATGCTTATGTTATACTGTGTTTAATGGTTCCCTACAAACACACTCACTATGCTACATTTTTAATGTATGTTTAAAAAAGACATGTGCCTTTAATACATTGATTATTTTTGTTTTATTTCATTTCAGTTTTACTCTTATTTTTATAAAAAAAATTATCCATTAAATTCTTAATGCTAGAAACTACTTTTATTCCATATAAGTAATAGTAGTAGTCGCTTATGTAAAGTAACAAATTATTGAACTAATAGACTAGGCAGTATTATCTAATTCAATCAACACTTTGATGAGAAGATTTGTAACTCATTCACCAAGGGTCGTCTACAACAACTTTAATACCTAATGAATGACGTGTTGTATCCAACACTTTTTTCCGTTTGTTCCAAGCCTTCACTTGCAGTACATTTGTACCCTTTTTACTTCCGAATGTTAGAATGCGTCATACTGATGGTAAGTTTATAACACTTAATTGCGAACAATTCCTGATACTAGATGTGAAAACTACACTTCACTACATAGAACTCATTTGTTAAGTGAATGAGAAGTTGGCTGAAAGCTCTAAGGGAGGAATACAATACATCTGTTGAACATTGAAAGTACTGGAGATAATCTCAGCTTAATATAAATTGATTCAAATTTTGAACCCTAACATCTAAGCAATTATAAGTGAATAGTAGTACTTAAACGTAAATGGTAACAACCTGAAATACTGAATACACGTAGGTGTGATATGAATAATATGACTAGAATTAAATTATTTCTCAATGTTAGCGGATCAATTATCAAATGCATTGAATTGAGTTAAACTATTGGATTTTAAGTTGAATAGTTAATCAATAAAACATATAATAACGTAATGCCTGTAACACATGTACGCTTAGTAGAAGTTTGATTTTTCATTCTGGTGTGAAATTGTCATCTATTATTGATAAGATATATGTAGCATAGATACTACTTTGATCGACCTGTCAACGGTCTAGTTTTGAGCGAAACAGAGATAACAATAATATCTGAATCGATTAGATTGTTGGCTGAGTATGTATGCATTAAATATCACTCAACTTCCAATCACTACTGATAGGTCGAAGTTGCAAAGTCTACTCCTTTAATTTTTGTTTAACCGACTGGATTAGCCTGGCAAGTATAGATAGACATATGGCATGCTCTCTCAAGGATCAAACGGAGGGCATGTATCTATAAGTAAGAAGTAGATTATGCATCTAATTCAATTTCCAGTTTATATATTCATGTCTGCGTCCAGATGAATTATCATATTTTTATCTATGATTTATATACTCTATGGTTTGGTCTAACAATTAATCCATTTTACTACTTATTTCCACAGTGAATTTAGTATACCACAGAAACTGTGTATCATAACTTAATCATACTGTTGAAGATAACATCAAATAACCCTCAAACACAATGCATTCTAAAAATCTATACATAATATATACACTTGATACAAACGCATGTATACACCAACAATCGATTGATTGATTGATTACTAACCTTGAGTTTTTGTCGTTATTGTTTTTGCATGTATTCATCACAAATCCACACTTTTCTGCATAGAGATAAACAATTTGATTTTACTTACTAATCAATCATCAATGTTCAATGTTCCAATCAATTTTATCATGAAAATTAAAAAAAAACGCATTGTTTCTTTTTTATATCGCTTTAGTAATTATAAATCTCATGTACGATATTAGGTGAATTATATATTCACAATGCATCGTTTCAAGTTTCTTGTGCTATATTATATTATCACATTTTCAGAATTAAAAAAAAACAAACATTGTTTATAATTGTGCCTCAATTAGATAAATAAAGTTGTATTTTAGTTATATTCATCATTTTACGTCTCTATTACATATTAGTCTTTTTTCTTATAAATCAGTTTTGTTACTGTTCTTGAGA